AAGACTAAAACAACTGAATAAATAATAGAGTGAGACAGACAGAACTATAATAATTAGATTTCTAAGAGCATGTGTCTTTCCCATTGCAACATACGCCTGTGAGACCTGGACACTTACTAAATATGCCTTTGAATACAAATGTTACAGATGGGTTCTAAGAATATCATGGGTAAAGAAAAGAACAAATGCATCCATACTTCAAGAACTGAATACAGAAGAAGGTTGGCTATAGAGATAAAACACAGAAAATTTAAATATTTTGGTCATTTAAAACGTCACGAAAGTTTAGAGAGAACAATTATGGAGGGGTATATGCCTGGGAAAAGAGGAAGAGGAAGGCCAAAGAGAAGATGGGTGCAGGATGTGGCAAATGATCTTCAGATGGGTGTATCAGACGCGAGACATGTTGCTTGCGATTGAGAGGCTTTCCGGAGGATTGTTATGGGAGCAAGGTTCTGCAAAGGACATGATACTGACTGACTGACTCTTTTTGAGAGAATGGCCTGGAAAGAATGAGGAACCTGGTTGTAACCAGAGGGTCTGGCCAGCTTACTACACTCAGAGGAAAGGCAAAACGGACATATAACCAGATTGTGACTGGTACCATCGGTATTGGAACTCTGCGCTGGCTGCTGAAGATGAGGACGGAGCACGCATGGGAATGCCCTGAGTGCTGTGATGCATCAACACTACATGAGTCATTTTCATGGCTATTGGTGGCGTGGAATGCTAAGTCATTTTATATGGCGCACCTAGTCACAATTATAACTTGAAGCTCCTCCTTTGTGGATGCTGGTTGAACGTAGTGATTTTGTTTTTCTTCAGCCAAAGCACCTACCTACCTTCTCTAATCTCCTCACCACGAAGAGGGACAACGCGGATTTCCTGTCTGTAGTGTAGCACAGGGCTGCCAATGCTGGGATTTTCACCCCAGATCTGGGTTTTTATTTGACTCCTGGGGGAAACCTGGTTTTTTTTAAAAAATATATATCCTTATATAAAAGTGGTTAATGTTTCGTTTGGTAAATTGAAATTTTGTATATTTTAACAATCTGGGTTTTTAATTTTGTTCTTTGTCTTTGTATTGCTTGGGTTTTTGTTCAGCTAAGCTGGGTTTTTCAAAAAAATCCCATTGGCAGCCCTGGTGTAGCAGACGTGCCGGGAGTCAGGAAATCATTGACATAATGGCAACAACCAGTGTCAGTGTCATCGTGTAATTTACATGACACGGCTACAGATCCGCTCAGCAGCCGCTAAGTTAGATACTTGAAGAGTACATATTAACCGCTGTGATAGTACACTGTAGTAAGTGTTTTATATATCATTATTTTAAAATATTAATCATTGAATGTCAAGTTTGGGCTCTGGCGGCCGTTATTTAGGTACTTTAGTCAAATTTTCAAAATGCCCTCTACACCAATAAAACCAGCACAGTTAGATAGCTGTAAACAATCTCTTTCCAACGGTACCTCATTTAGGCTTGTATGTCATTTCTGAGCTGAGATATGTAGGTTTTTGTGGAGATAAGATGTAGAAAGCAGCTGCTAAAACTTGCGAATTAGAAACAAGGTTTTCTCTGCGCAACCAAACTGCGCACTTATCGTTTTGGCTTTGTTTACATTGGACTGTCATTGGACAAGATGGCAGACAATGAGACACAGCCACTGGCTGAGCCAGCGATTGCCTGAAAAATGTCACTGTACATCTACCTAGCCACTGTTCAGAAAGAAATTTTATACACAAATGTAAAATTGGACGGAGAATTCAATTATAACTAGCATTACCAGGGCCAGTAACAGTTAAAGCCTAAAGCCAACCTTGAATACCTAGCGCTATTTTCAATCAAACTGATGTAACAGAAAAACAGAGGATGTCCGGCTGTCTTAGACATGCGCTGTTAATCGGGTTCCTTCCCACCGTTTTCAGCTTTTTATAGTGGGTGAAAATCACACCAATCGCAAAATTTCATGAGAGATTAGGACCCATCCCGAAACCCCAGCCGACATTTGCGAAGCAAGTTAGAACGGTTTCCATGGTAACGGAAATATCTGAACGGTGTTCACGTATATCTAAAATACGGACTTTATGCCAAAGAACAAATCGCGGCAAAACTAGGATTACTTGACAATCAATATCAACATTGTACACAGTAGTAGCAGACGATAAATACTGACCGTTGACAATTTTGAGCGTTCCTGCAGACGATACTAGCAGACGATATTAGCGACCGTTAACCAATTTGGAGACATTACAGACGACGAAAGCGATTAGCAATACTGTGTTCTTCCGATTGGAGGATTTAGCCTTTTCATCGCCGAGCGTTACTTCCGCGCCGCTACACGCGTCATAGATAGGGGGCTAAACTAGGTGCCTGGGACTCACGAGTAAAGTAATTGCCGAAAGTTGCAGGAGATGCGGTAGCCGCTGCTCGTGAGTCCCAGCCATCACAGGGGATACGGTCGTCGGTGAGGCACACTCGCAGAAGCAGGTCCGCAAGTAACATATCGCCGAGATCCTGTTAGAGCATTTGTTTCGTTATACGGAGCCGGCGTATTTTTAATAGAACTGAGCCCCATTCAGATATTTTTTGATATTTTATGGCCAGAATGTGGCCAATTTGGCTCTCTTTCGAACGGCATCATATTATGGCCGCCATTTTATGGTGCCGTTCAAAGTAGAGCCTAATCATCATAAACCACTTCTGGGCTCTCCTTTAAATAACAGTCCCAAATGATCTACGCAGAAAGTTAATCCTAACAGAGCCTCATTATGTCCTACCCTTAGATTTAAAAGTTGTAGCTCGGAAAATAAAAGGAACGAAAAGTATGAGGAAAAGGGCGAAGTCTACTACTTCCTCACAGTTAAATCCTTTATATGTGAAAATTGTGGCACAGAAGTTGCAAACAGTGCCTGAATATCTGTCCTTTCTGGGTTCCCGCCATTTCAACAGGCCGCGGCTTGTCCGCGATTCTCGTTCCGGGTGAGACATCATCAATAATGCGCGTTTTAATGTACGCGCATGTCGCCTTGGGACAACTTCAAACCAGCAGTCGCCTTGGGACAACTTCAAACCAGCAGCCGCCACTGTGGCGCTCCACTATCCCGACGACCTCTTGACCGTGGCAAATGCGACCACGCTGGCAGTTCCGACGCAAGTAGTAGCTCATGACTGTTTTCCTGCGACTATAGTGCCACCTCCGAGAGTATCCCCCGCGCCGCTACATGCGGCGCAGAAGGGGCTAAACTAGATGATTTGGACTCACGAGCAAATACAAAGGAGGAAGCTGCAGGAAAAGCGGTAGCTGCTTCTCATGAGTCCCAGCCATTAGTTTAGCCCCTTCCGCGCCGCACGTAGCGGCGCGGGGATACTCTCGAAGGTGGCACTATAGTCGGCGGAAAGTGGTCCGAAACTTACATATAGCTGTGGCCCTGCCGTAGGATAGCGCACGGCCAACTCTAGATATAAATAGCCTGAAGATGGCCCTGCCGTAGGATAGCGCTATCGGCAGTATTCTCGCGTGTCGCTAATTTTGTTCGTCCGTAGTTAATCCTAGTTTTGCCGGCGAAAAAAATCCGTTGCGTTTCGCGAAAATGTCGGTCGCAATTAATCCTACTTTTGACACGGTTGAATCTCCGCAAAAGAAATGCGAATTTTAGATATGAGTGAGGCTCTGTTTGGGTTTACTTTCTGCGTAGATCATTTGGGACCGTTATTTAAAGGAGAGCCCACTTCTGCCGTTAGGCGGCGTGGGGAGGAATAATTTGCGATCCAGTGCACGTTGGCTGCCACTGGCTATTGTCATGCCGTGAAGGCGTAGAGTGTCATTAATGTTGTCGATCCATGTTTTCCGCGGCCGTCCTCTTGCTCTTGTAGTTGATCTTCTGGGACGTAGTGCTTGTGATGGTATTTGATCTTGCTGCATTCTAACGAGATGGCCAAACCACTTGATTTGCTGTTTCTCGATGAATCTAGTACAAAGTGTCGTTCCCACAATTTGCCTGATAATTTTTTTCACTCAATCTCGTATGGTTAGGTTGGCTAAAACTAAAGTGAACTAAAGGGTAAAAAGGTAAATTGCATCACAAGAACTGATCTGTTGGTGTTAATCAGTTAAGCTACCAGGAGAAGAAGAAGAAAAAAAGAAATTAATGCAAATAAAGACAAAGCAGTTCAAATTTGTGGGCAAACTTTGAAATAATTTTGAGTGAAGGAAGCTTAGCTGCTTTGGAACCAGGCAGTGGGTTCTCAGAATGATTCCAACGAATCCACTGCCTTGGTCATGACATTGTAAATAACATGTTTTGTCAAGTCTGTCAGAATGAGCTGTAAATAATAAGACTATTTAAGTGTTTACAATAACAATAGTTAACACAGGTAAATAAACACACTAGTTACATTAAACAGTAGTTTGAACAGGTGAATAAATACACTAGTTACAATCAACTTCTTTGTTTACCGGCTGTAAGCTCTGGCAGAAAGTCTTGTTTGCTGGTCCATTTGGACTTTGTTTTTGTGTGCCAGGGCCTGAGTTTTGTGTACACCCATTTTACTGGCTTCCTTTAGTGCAGTTAATGATTGCTTGCCGCTTGGGCGCATGCACTCTGACTTCGAAGGAAGCTCCCAGTTAGTGAACTTCTAGAACATGTTTGTTGGCAAGGCAGTGGGCCTGTTTGTTTTTCCTGCAATGGGGTACAGGAACCCACATGGGAAAGTTACAGTTAACAATAGTTTACACATGTGAATAAATACTTGAGTTATAATATACATTTGTTTACACAGGTAAATAAATATGCTAGCTACACTAAACAATATTTTCCATAGCTAAATAAATAAATAGTTACTAAAAATCAGACTAGTTCATACAGGCAAGGGAAAATCATCATATTATCCTTAAATTTGCAGGTTCTGTTTTTGAAACTAAATGATAGAGAAGCAAAAAGAGTCAAAGATAAGCAGTACCACTGTTGTGGGTGAAATCCAGACAATTGTTGAGTGAACAATGGCCACAGCTGTTGATGTGGATAAAGTTGGTGGTGGCTTGATGAATTTGTTCTCATATTCAAACCTGGTACATGCAGTTTCTGGAGCCAGTGTGAGTATATCCTTCTGTTATTCTTAGAAATAGTTAGTCAATGGATCCTCCTCATTGCACATTTAACCATTCAGTCAATAAGTGCTCATATCCTCTCCTCATTTTAACCCTAAGCTTGTAGCGACTGATGAAATCAGGTTGTGAGGATCCAGTCTCATAAACACTGGGTAAAAGATAACTTTCTAGGAAGGAAAGATCATAGTTAGTTAGTCAATAGGTCATTGTCACTGCACATCAAACCATTCAGATCATTATTGCTCATGTCTCCTGCTTCATTGTTTGTCTACCTTCCAAAATAGCTCTGTCCACAAGCTTGTTCATTTCCTCTTATACCTGCATTACTTGGCCCCAAAAATCTACTTCTTCTTTGTCTTCACTGGCTATAAACTTTTTCTTTTTACAAAGTTTTACTATATTTCATTAGTAAGTTAATCGCGCTTCCAACTTCACAGCAAAGGGAGAACAGTCAGTTGCTGTGTTCCTGCATTAGCAAAAGCCACACAAGATACCCATCGCTATCCCCTCTGGAAAACTGAAACAGACAGCAGTCTCTGCAAAGCCAACACCATGCACATACATCAGATGCACAAACAGCCGTTAGAAGTGCCAACAAACATTCTGCCACTAGAATTACGGTCCATCACTGATGGAAGCAGCAATCAAAATAAATCAGCAGTTACGGTGAAAATATTACACAGGGCAACCACCAGTTCTGCGGCAATAGGCCACTCACCACATTCTGAATCTGTGGTTCATAGCACAGACCCCCCTTCGGCACAGTCATAAAGAATTCCAAATGAAAATCAGTCCCCCGGTGGGTTGCGGAGGTGGGAGGGGGGGGGGGGTGCTGGGAAGAATAGACCAACTGCCTCCTAACAAGTGTGTCCTAAAATGCAAGGTGTTTTTTTTTTCGAAGTTGGAGTACATCTACCTGAAAGGCAAGGAACCCGCAGTCTGCATTAAGATAAGCCAGAGTTGTAAACTGGATATGCACGCAAAACTTAACTTCTGGAATAAGACCAAAGTCCAAAAATGGATGAATAACCAGAACTTTCAGTGGTAGTTTACAACCGTTAAATGCTAAGCAGAAGAAGGTGCAATTCACATCTTACAGTGCGCACCAGGCACTCATATCAGTAGCTGGGCGATAGAACTATAAACTTTCAGACCACATATGGTAGAAAATACAATGGCTAACCATGGCCAGAGGCAAATAACTTGCAAAGGTTAAAACGTTTCTCCTGTCTATCTGCCAGACTGGACCAGAAGTGCTTGCTTTAGTTATATATAATGTTCTCAGTATGACAGTATAAGTCAGTATCATCTTTACATTTAAAAAATAGTTCCATGGCAGACACAGCCATTGAACGGTGTGCAAATTGTTTCCAGAAAATTCTGGAAATTATCTGGTACCCATTGATATTTAAATGTACTGCTCAGAAGAAATCTTCCTCTGTTTGAACCCAGACCAGTGTCTTGGCTTGCAAGTTGTCCTCATATATACAAACATAGTTTCCTAATTTCTTAACTCTTTTGCCCTGAGAAGCCATGCACAGATACTTTCTGGTTGACTCTAATTTCCCATAAATGTTACTTTTTTCTACTTTTCTTTTGTGATCTGTTTATGAAATGCATAGTTAATGCTATTGGCTGTTTTCATGCCTGTGCAAATCTTTAGGAGGTGAGTAAATGAACAGACCCCCCCCCACCCACCCCCCCCCCCCACCCCCCCCAAACACCCCCCCCCCCCCCCCCCCCCCCCCCCCCCCAAAAAAAAATGAAATAGCTTTTTTAGAGCCAAGTTGATGTAAAATTGTTTAGTAAACCTCAGTGATGGAGGTTAAGAGTCACCTGATACATGTATTTGTTAGCCGCAGGGAATGTATTCTTTTCAGTGTTTCACCATGTCTGTGTTAATTAATTACTTCCTTCATATATCTTTATTTATTTCATTTAAAAAATGTAGATAAATAGTAGCTTTTACTAATTTATTTGTGACATGCACAAAGAAATTGTTTTAATGCTTTTGTCTGCAATTCCAGTGTGGTCATGACCAATTATCTTTTTTCTGTTCCTGGGACAGGAGAGTAAGCTCAGACTATATGCCACATGATGCAGACCAACTGATTAAAGTGAGAAACTTCCTTTCTGTTTAGGTTTCCTACTGTACGACCAGTTGAGAATGATGGGCTGTCATTCTGGAGATTCAGACTAGAATTCCTGTTAAGATGATAGTTTTTGTTTTTGTTTTTTAATGTCGAGGGCAAAAATGAAATCCAAACCTGCAGAATCTGTGGTAGCTACACTAACTGTGTGGCCCCTAATTCTCAGACCCATGTTTCCCCTGTCCTACACCTCCCTAAAGTGTGGTAAATACAGTCTGCAAAGATAGTTCTTGTTTCTTATTTGTCATACTTACATACTAAGTCACTTTTTTTATATTTTATTTTTCAGGGAAGTGTTATAGCAATATCAGTGTTCTATCCTCTAGACACAGTCAGGACAAGACTTCAAGGTATCCTGTACAAAGATGACACTTTTAGGTTCTTTTCAGCTTTTATTACCCTGTCTCGACAGCTGCGAGACTTGTAAGGAATTCCTAGGGACTTCCCCTGATAGTTCTATAGTATAGCTAGTTAGGGTTAGTGTTAGTCAATGTTCATTTAACAGTAACCCTACACTAAAAGTGCTATATTCTAGGCATGTTACGTGTTGGTTGTTTTCGGCGTGTTCATTGTTTATAGCGTCATCATTTCCAGTGTGTGTTACTTTTGTTTGTTCATTGCCATGGCTTTGCCCTGTTAGCAAGTGATGAGTTTGCACATTTGGAGACTGTTGTTCCTTTTCAGGGGCCCTCCTCACCGACAACCTTAGATGGTCCTGTTCAGAACCCGCCGCAAAACATCCCCAATTCGCTTCTCACTTCCTAAGATCTACCCAAAAGAAACACAGGTTCAAGCCGAGCTTTACAGATTGCTGAGCGAATTACAGAATACGGTGAAGTTAATTTTAGAGATGACACTATAGATATAGATAATCTGTTTCGGGCAAACAAAATAAGAACAAGAAGGGAAAAATAACCCTAACCGTAGGAATTCTCTACCAAATCTTGCAGCTGCTGAGATGGGGTGAAAAGGATGAAAAGTTTTGTTTTTGTCAACACGTAAGACACTATTTCAGTGTATATATTAACCTGCCTCTTGCTGTGGATTCCGGGGCCTTATCATCATAAAAGAAGATTATTAATAAGTTGCTGAAAAGTGCAGATATTGCAGTCTAGCTGTAAACCACAGTAAAGTGTCAACCATTGTTTTTAAAATTGGTGAGTGCAGAAGAAGTATATTAACTCTGTCTGTTTCACATAGCACACCATATGTTATCAGCCATCGTCTTGTGCTTCAAGTAACAAGTAAGATATTGTAGGGTGCTCTGTGTGGTTTTCACAGACACAGGAGCAGAGTAGTCGGGGGTGGCCTGCTTGCAATATTTCCTCCTCTTCTTCTTTTTTTGTTCCCTTGAAATAAACTATCTATATCTGCAAGCTGTCTCTCGTACGAACTTCACTTCTTCTTCTTCTTCACTTCCTCTTTTACCGCTGTGGGTGTCAAGGGAGATATAGGATTCTGTTTCTAGCTCTTCTGGCTGCCTTGACCATAGGCACATCGTGCTGTTGTAGAGTTTCTCTGATGTTTCCTTCCATCTTGTTCTTGGTCTACCCCGTGCTCTACGTCCTTCTTCTCTTTCCATGTATGCTTTGTATGGTATGGTGTCACAAGGCATTCTGTCTAAGTGGACAAACCATTTCACTTGCTGTCTTTGTATGTAATCCAGAATTCGCTCTGTGCCGACTTGTTCTCTTATGATCTCATTCCTGATCTTATCTCTTATGGTCACTCCTACAGCCCTTCTCAGACATCTCATTTCCGTGGTTACTACGAACTTTACTAACTTTTGTAATTCGCTTAGCAGCCCGTAAAGTTTGGCTTCCACCATTGTTTATCTTGGTCATATATTTTGCCTGGAAATGTATTTAGGACAGTCTTGGAGGATGTGATCTGTTGTTTCAGGTGCAAGTCCACATGTGCACATGGCTGATTCACCAGTTTTACATTTTGTACATGTTGCTGCGAAGTCAATTGTGCTCTGTTCTAAGGTGTATAATAATGATTTGCTCTGGTCTGTCCATTATATGGTAATCTAATCCATTTGCAGTGAAGCTGGCTCTGCGATTTACTTGAAGAAATTATGTTTCTTTTATGTATTTATATTTACAAATGAGGAAAAGTAAAGTTTCATGTTGGAGTGGAAAGGATTTGTCTACAGTGATAGAATGTCATCTTTAAACTTTGTAAAAGAAAAATGTTAAATATTTAGTAACAACACATATTTGTTGAGCGAGTCCAACCTTCTTACACCTGTAGCCCACCAAAACAGGGGATAATTGTGGCTCACCTGACAGCTAGCCAAACACAGCAATACATGTAGGTAGCAGTTTATTAGTTAAATCCCATGTCACATAATGATAAGTTTCAGCAGATGAGACATCTTTTGATTCTCATCCATAATGTGTTAATCCTGCAGACTGCGATCCTGGAAGAGGGAAATGACCCAACCTACCCCATTACATGATTATGAAGAAACTGTTGACGGCCTACCTGGGCTTGCAGCCCACCAGTGGGCCGTGGCTCACCGGTGGAAGAACACTGGTCTAGTCAGTTCCCCATATGGGTTCTAGGACATCATTTTTGGGACAGAAAAAATAAAAATCACTACCCTCGAGCAAGCATGCAGTTAAAGGGGACTAATTAGGGTGTTTCCTTTAAAATGCTTGTGCTTGAGAAGCAAGGAACCTTTTTTTTTAAAACCCATCTGAATAAAAATAGTATTCGAAAATATAAATGCAACTTATGACTAGTTCAACTTAACAACATGATAGTGGGATCATACAAAAAATGGTGAAAATATGGGGGTGACTGCAGTCAAGCTAATACAAGCATACACTCCTCTCCTCGTTACATTTGTGTAGTTCACTTATGTTTGAAAAAGGCTGCCCGGCCGAAACGTTACGTTGTGTTGTTTTGTGCACATTTTTCTGCTTCCCCATTTTGTTGAGCTTATTAGTCAAATTTCTCTGGAATTCCTAGTCGGAACAGAACTCAGTCGGAAGTCGAGGAGATCCTGTGCTGGGACCAGTCAAGCATGTCATAAGAACCAAGTAAAGAGGGTTGGCATCTTATCATGTAGAAGACTCAGCTGCAAGATACAGTCAGACATGAACAAGCTTACAGAAGGCTTGATGTTGGTTGGTTGATTGCCTTTTCTATATTTGGAGATGAAAGGCAGAGGAGGAACCTAGCAAGGGAGATAAGTGAAGTTGAACCCCACTAGGACCTCAAACTGATCAAGTAATACCCAGTGACCTAACCCGATGACCCAAACAGTCACTGTTTGGATGGGAATCCCCCAGATACAAATCTCAGACACCCTGTTCAATCATAAGTTATATTCGGGCCCCTGTTGGTTATAAAGTAAACTTAAGTTTGAACAGGGTAGGGTTCTGCAAGTAATCAAGGGAGATTTGAACTCGGGAACCACTAGGTCGGTGGGCAGGTTCACTGGTCACTTTGCTACTGCAGCTTCCAATGATATTTTATAGTTATTTCATTTGTTAACTTTTTTCCCCAGTTGATGACCATAGACGGGCAAAAAATACATATGAAGCCTTGAAGGAGATTATACGTGAGGAAGGACTGTAAGTTCTAATTTATGTTTTCAAGAGTGGGTTATTTTGTCTTTATTTTCTTTTCTTTTCTTTTCTTCTTCTGTCTTTTTTTTTGCCCAAGAGGCAAGGAACCAGCATCTGCATACATATAAGCCAGATCTGTAAAACAGATGTGCTCGCAAAACTCGAGTTAAGGAACAAGACCAAAGTCCAGATTTGGACGAACAGCAGAGCTTTCCACTGGAGTTTACAGCCAGTGAACGCAAGGAAGAAGGGAAAATGGGATTGCTGGTGGCATAGCCGGTATGAAAAGGGTCTTGTAGCTGTGTAATTCAAATGGAAAGATGCTCATGTATTGTTTATGTGGTTGTAATCTTGGTAATCTTAGTTTCAGCTTCATAGCAAACGAGTCACCCCATAGTTGCTCCACTCCTGTGCCAATGAAAAACACACAGAATGTTCGTCACAGTCCCTTGTGGAAAGATTGACAGACTGCTGTCTCAGCATATGCACTAGCACACACACGCCTTAAAAGCATACGGTAGCCATCAGAAGTGCTAACACAAACAGTTTGACATTAGAAATGCAGTTCATCATCGACGGTAGCAGAAGTCGCCAATAAATCAGCAGTTGCGCAGGTGATTAATATTAATCACATAAGGGCACCACCAATATTGCAGTGACAGGCCACGTGCCATTTTCTGAATCTACAGTTCACAACACCACGTTGGTTGTGTGGTTGTACTTTATAGCTGTGTGACCTTTTTTTTTTTTTTTTGGGGGGGGGGGGGGTTGCATTCCCTGGCTGCAAACTCCGGCGGAAAGTTCTGGTTGTTTGTCCACTTCTGGGCTTTGGTTTTGTTCCAGTGATGTTGACCATATCCCCCACTGAGATTGGCTTATAAAAAATGGATCTAACCCAATATGCTTGAAGGTGTGGACAAGGGTTTTTTACTTTACTATGTACTCATGCACATTTACCTTGAAAAGGGGCCCTTAATTTTTACTTACACTATGAAGAAAAGGGTCCTTAACTTTATTTTTGCTAACTTAACAGTATGAAATGATCAGTTATAACATTACACTTCAGGTGTCTTTACTGTCTATTCATTACTATTTACCATTCTTATGACATTACTTTGACAAAACTATGTTTTGCTTTACCTCCCTCAAAACTTAGGGCCTGCCATTTTCTTTTAGCTGAGAGACAATAAATGAGGTCTGCATACAAATAAGCCAGATCTGTTAAACAGATGTGCTCACAAAGTTAAAGTTCTGGACCAAGAACAAAGTTCCAGAGGTGGACAGCCAACCACAACTTTCTGTCCATACTTAAGGGCAGTGACTAATGGCAGCAGTGATTTCAAGGTTGATAGAATGACTGGGGGGGGGGGGGGGGGGGGTAATAGCCTCAGCAGTAACTAAATGCTATGGCACAAGTTGAGACAGAGATGAAGTAGAGGATGGGAGAATGCCAACCATTTCTTAAACTATCCATGTGAAGCGAGGCAGTTAAATCTAGTGTTAAGTAAAATAGTACAGTTTATGTGTCTTATTTAATCACGTGAAGACATTCCTGTTCCTAATCTGCCTTTGTTTTCAGACAGGGTCTCTATCTAGGCTGGTTTCCTGTTGTCAGTGCTCTTAGCTGTTCCAACTTTATTTATTTTTACACCTATAATGGCCTCAAGTCAGCATTACTTGGTGGGCGTAGCAAGGCATCTCCACTTGTTGATTTGTCTTTGGCTTTTGTTTCAGGTACTGTAGCTTTCATTCTTTAGTCTGCTTTAGGCCTGTTTATATGTTTATGTGTTATTATTTTTTTTCTCTCCACTAATTCCTGTTGAATGTCATACATTTTTATTGTTTCAATTTGTTGAATATCATTGTTATTTATATCCTTCCTTGGCACATTTATTTTCTACTATTTGTAAATTCAGGGTGGAGTTTTTGCTCTTTAGCAGGCAAATGGTTTATGAGCTTGTTATATTCTGTTGACTTGTTGCTCTGCTGAACTGTATGCTTCTGCAGAACACTTGTGGACCACCTCGGAAGGATGACTCTAGTTTTATCTCACATTAGTCTTTTGTTTTGAGTAAAAATATGTTTAGTGTAGTGTTTAATCTAAAACTTAGTCTAGTGTTTATTCTGATTCGATTAATATTTAGTCTAGTGTTCAGTCTAATACTTAATATTATAGAATCCTTACCTGCACATTTGATTTACTGATCCCATCCCAGTGTGGGACGCAGTTTTGCTTTATTTTAAATCCTCACCCCGGCTGTAGTTAGGGGCCTTAATGTATAACCTATTGGTTGAATGGGGTTTCTGAAACCTGTGTCTGGTGACCCTCATCCGAATGCTGGCACTTTGTGTCACCTGGTGTTGGTTACTTGTTGAACAACATACATACCCATGGAAGATTTTTCTTGACACAGGCGAGTCTTGCAAGTCATACTCACCATTGCCTTGGGCTGTAATTCCTGCACCTCCCTACAGCACACTATAATACTGTTAACGGAAAAGAAGGAAAGGTACCAACACAACAGGCTAGCTGTAGCAAGTTTTTCACATTCATTAGCTGTCAGATATCCAGGCACATGGATAACATCTGACGGAAGAGATATCACAGAGCTAAAGAACAGAATAGGACAGGCTGAAACTGCATTTTATCAAATTGAAGGACATTTTATGCAATCAATCCATGTTATTGGAGGTTAGGAAAATAATTCTCATATAATATATAGTGCCAGTATTAACATATGGCTGTGAATCCTGGACATTTAAAAAAAAGCAAACCTAACAGTTTCTTGAGGTCTCAGAGATGTGGTTTTACAAAAGAATCCTTAGAATTCCTTGGACAGCCAAAAAAGGAGCAACTCAGATGTTTTGAAAGAGGCAAAGGCTGAAAGACAACATCGTGCCATGTCTTGCTATATATCATGTTGTTGCCTCAACACAGATTGTTTATATTTAGTCCCCATTAGGCGGTAATCAACCCCTTTATTTACAACACACCTTTATCATCAGCTTCCGTTTTAGTTTTGGTTTCAAAATCCTTGTTTGCCTCATTAACTGTTTGTTGACAGTGCCTATTATGTATATTTGTGTGTTTTTCCCTTTCTCACCTTTGTTAAGCTCTAAATTCATAGTTCAGAATATTAATTGTCTGTACAGAGGATAGTCCAGCAAGAATATATTGGGTAGTTTCTTTGCTGAGTCCCCACGGATATAATGGTCACACAGTGAGATGAAACTTGGGCACATCTTTTTTTCATAGTCCTGGGGCAAGAATGGTTATTTGTCAGGTTTGGTCAAGATCAATTCACACACTTGTCAGTCTACTTTATTTTGATTCTCTCTGCACGTTTGTCTAACAGCACTGTTAGTTTTAGTTTTGTTCAGACGTGCCTCGGGTTTATTCAGTACTTCTATTTGCATGTATTTTATATTTTTTGAAATAATGGTAACAACATTTACAGTGTTTGGTTCTGTAATTCTAATACTCTAATATAAGAAGGATTCTTTGGTAGAGCAAAATTATAGACCCCCAAAAAAAAAAAAAAAAGATGAAAGTGCAGATTTGCATAAAAATTTTTTTTTTTTTTCACCAAACAGCCATAAAGTAGGTCGACTCAGGCAGTTTATGGTTCCAGTATAACTAAGGAAAATTCAATGTAGGACAGTTTGTTCACACCAAGGAAAAAAAACAATCAATGTTTTTATATCACTGGGCCATGAACTGAATACCCAGTCTTTTCTGAAGAGGGCAGAAAATAGAAGATTCTGTGTGCATGTTAAAATTCCCCTGTGGTTGGTTGGAAGCTGTAATAAAAAAGCTGTATGGCCATTACCATGGCAACCGTTTAACCTACAAGAGAAAATGTTAGTCTTTGTCTGCTTCTTCTTAGCGTTCAATGGCTGTAAACTCTGGTGGAAAGTTCTGGTTGTTCATCCCTGTTTCTTCTTCTTCTTCTTCTTAGCGTTCACTGGCTGTAAACTCTGGTGGAAGGTTCTGGTTGTTCATCCCTGTGTGTTTGTCTTCTTAGCGCTCACTGGCTGTAAACTCTGGTGGAAAGTTCTGGTTGTTCATCCCTGTGTGTTTGTCTTCTTAGCGCTCACTGGCTGTAAACTCTGGTGGAAAGTTCTGGTTGTTCATCCCTGTGTGTTTGTCTTCTTAGCGCTCACTGGCTGTAAACTCTGGTGGAAAGTTCTGGTTGTTCATCCCTGTGTGTTTGTCTTCTTAGCGCTCACTGGCTGTAAACTCTGGTGGAAAGTTCTGGTTGTTCATCCCTGTGTCTTCTTCTTCTTAGCGTTCACTGGCTGTAAACTCTGGTGGAAAGTTCTGGTTGTTCATCCCTGTGTCTTCGTCTTTTTCTTCTTAGCGCTCACTGGCTGTAAACTCTGGTAGAAAGTTCTGGTTGTTTATCCCTGTGTCTTCATCTTCTTCTTCTTAGCGCTCACTGGCTGTAAACTCTGGTAGAAAGTTCTGGTTGTTTATCCCTGTGTCTTCATCTTCTTCTTCTTAGCGTTCACTGGCTGTAAACTCTGGTGGAAAGTTCTGGTTGTTCATCCCTGTGTCTTCGTCTTCTTCTTCTTAACGTTCACTGGCTGTAAACTCTGCTGGAAAGTTCTGGTTGTTCATCCCTGTGTCTTCGTCTTTTTCTTCTTAGCGCTCACTGGCTGTAAACTCTGGTAGAAAGTTCTGGTTGTTTATCCCTGTGTCTTCATCTTCTTCTTCTTAGCGTTCACTGGCTGTAAACTCTGCTGGAAAGTTCTGATTGTTCATCCCTGTGTGGACTTCATTCATGTTTTGGACTTTTGTTTTGCTTGCATGTCCTTTTTTACAGATATGGCTTGCTTTTATGCAGACTTTCGGTTCCTCACCTTTCAGACAAAGATGGTGCATTCCAATTTTGAAGGAAACTCTGCTAATTAGTCAGCTTGTACGACATGCTTGTTAAGGAGGCATTTTGCAGGTCTGCTAATCCCCCCCCCCTCCCCCCTCCCCAAGTCATTTTGAAAGAAGAAGAAAAGTCTAGCACCGTCCGGATTTGAACCCATGACCTTCAGATATGCAGGCAAGCATCTAGCCACTACACCACGGCAGCTAACTTTGCATATTCATAGCTCAGTGAAAAATCCATTAACTAGCAATAAAATTTACCCAAAAGCTTACAAAGTATACTTTTTTGGGCATACAATGAACTATCATTTAGAAGAATCATTGATTATCTAATAATTGGCTAAAAATAATAATACCAGCTTAAAGTAACTTCTTCTGCTTCTTAGTGTTCCCTGACCGTAAACTCCAGCTGAAAGTTCTGGTTGTTTGTCCACTTGTAGATTTTAGTCTTGTTCCAGAGTTTTGTCTGCACATCCATTTTACAAATCTGGCTTATTTGTATGCAGACTTTTGGTTCTTCACCTCTTAGGCGGATGCACTCCGACTTAGAAGAATGCAACCCCAGTTAGTCACTTTTTACAACATGCTTGTGGATCTGTTCTCATTTTCTCCAAAATAGGGCCCCAGAACCCACACGGGGAGGAAATAACATAACATAACTATGTTGTAATCAAGAAACATACAACTAACCAGGTTTCTGTGTAGTCAGACTTACAGAATATTTTACTGTTTGAGTTTGGCAAGTCAAGCAGTAAAAAAAAATGTTCTGTTTGTTTTATTCCTGTAGCACGGGGATTTACAGAGGCTGGCAGTCCATGGCAAGCACCATGTTTGTCTCCAGTTTTGTCTATTTCTACACCTATGCCAGCTTTCAGTACATCCATCAGTCAGTGTTGGGCAAACAGGAACCAGTTTCCATGAACCGACATACAGAGTCAATCTACACTATGTTTATAGACCTTCTTGTAGCATTTCTGGCAGGTACTCGAATGCCTTCCTAATCATGTAATCTTCTGCGAGAGAAAAGCATGCCAGCTTACTGTTTTTGTTTTGTTAGCTTTCTTATGATAGCTAAAAACCATAAACATATTGTGTCCCGAACAGGTGTGACTCTGAAAGAGAATACCAATAAACATCATCATCATTAGGTGCTTTGCCGACTGGCATGGGCGATCATGCCTCTCTACAATCTGCGATCTCCTGCAGCATGTATCAGTATGTGTGCTTACCTCCATGCCATTAACAAAACTGTCTCTTTTCTCGTCGTCTTCCTCTATTCCTCCTTCCACAGATCTTTCCAGTGGTCACAACATTTCCATTTTATCTCTTCTCATAACATGGCCAAAAAAGGATGACTGTCTCCTTCTGATGTCTGTGATAAGTTGTCTTCAGACTACCGCCTCTTTCAGAACCTCTTGGTTTTGACAATAGACAGCAACATAGATTCAACAGACAGCAACAACAAAAGCAGGTGGACATTTTCACTTGACTGGCCACTATGGGTCCTCTAGAAGCACTGGAGAATTTTGGGTTATTCTGTTTTGGTCTCAGGGTCGGCGAAGGAAAACCCCAACTGCATCTCCACATGGTAAAAGGTGATAAACACACTGCTTTGTGACCAACGCAACTATGGGGACCGAGTATTTCCTGGATAGGTGGACACCTCTGGGTTGCCTCTTACTGTTAGCAGAAGCATCACAGAACTGGGCAATTATTTGCCCTGGCAATCTAAAAGGTTGTTGAAGGTTGATAACGTAGTCTAAAGCCATGTGGACGTGGAAAGCAAGTGGAAGCTACCACATTATTATCCCAAGAAACTCATTTTTTAAAGCCAAAAACAGACCATCAAGGAAATCAGAATTAAAATACTGAGAGCATTTTTCTTCCCTGTAGCAAGATACTGATGTTAGTCATGGACTGTTTCCTAGTCTTTGAGAAAAAAAAAATAGGGGCTTTTGAGCTGAAATGCTATAGAAAGATTCTCAAAATACCATAGACAAAAAAGAGAAGAAATTCTGACATTTTAAAAGATCAGAACGTCAAGGAAGATTGGCTAATAAACAACATCTTGTCTCAAACGCTGAAATATTTTAGTCACTTCAAGTGCTATGGCAGATTGGAAAAATATAATAGCTGAAGGCATGGTTCCAGGAAGAAGGGGCAGGTGCCAACCAACACGAAGATAGGCGCAGGATATAAGTGACTCCTTGAATATGAAGTTACACAAGGCAGGAGAGCTGGCAAGAGACAGAGTTTCTTGTGACGAGAGCAGCATTCTGCAAAGGGCCTGCTGCATGATGATGATGATGGCCACTATGGAACACTTGACCTCTATACCACTCAGTGATCTCACTCTCACTCTCTCTCACAGATGAATGTTCACATGAAAATGAAATTTTGAACTCTGAATACATTCTTCACAACTACTAGGTTCATAACTGTACTGGCAGACCTGGCTAGAAAGTGCAGTGCCCTGGAGAAAGTGATGAACTTTATCATAGATTGAGTACTGCAGCTAAATCTTGACCAGTAACCGAACTCTGTGACAGAATTGATGTAGCTTCATCAGTCATCCGAATGTGAATATGAAGAAAAAAGAAGAAATGCATCATTGTGACAAACGAGATATAGCTCAACCAGTAGGCTGAATACCAAGAAAGAGAACAGGTTTAGCTTGACTAAAAGTCTCAGTGCCAAAAACGAGAAAAAAAAACACTACAGTCAGAGACATTTAGCTTGACTAATCGTCTCACTGCTGATGTCCAAGAAAGAGAAAAACACCTCATAGTGACAACACTTCACCAATAGTCTAATGCCAAGAATGAGAAAAACACCTCATAGTGACAACACTTCACCAATAATCTAATGCCAAGAATGAGAAAAACACCTCATAGTGACAACAGCCATTACGCTTCACCAATAGTCTGATGCCAAGAAAGAGAAAAACACCTCATAGGGACAACACTTCACCAATAATCTAATGCCAAGAATGAGAAAAACACCTCATAGTGACAACACTTCACCAATAGTCTAATGCCAAGAATGAGAAAAACACCTCATAGTGACAACAGCCATTACACTTCACCAATAGTCTAATGCCAAGAATGAGAAAAACACCTCATAGTGACAACACTTCACCAATAATCTAATGCCAAGAATGAGAAAAACACCTCATAGTGACAACACTTCACCAATAATCTAATGCCAAGAATGAGAAAAACACCTCATAGTGACAACACTTCACCAATAATCTAATGCCAAGAATGAGAAAAACACCTCATAGTGACAACACTTCACCAATAGTCTGATGCCAAGAAAGAGAAAAACAGATGTTTTGGCCATATAGGGAAGAGAGAGAGAGATAAAGTGACTGATAATCTGAATGCCCTGAGGAGCACCATAATATGACAAAAGAAGTTTAAAACAATATGTTACACATTTGGAGTCAGTATGACAAAACGTAGTGTTGACAGGTCACTGAAAAGCTATAGTTGATTATGCCTGTTTGGCTTCTCAAAGTCCGTCTTTGTTTTCTGTTTTCTTATTTTTGTTTTTCTGATTGCTGCCCTGTTGTTGTTGTTTTTTTTTTTTTGTTTTTTTTGTATTTTTTCTACATATTTGCATCCACTTTTTCTTCTTTTTTTTTCTATTAATATTTATTGGACCTCCCCTCCTGCCAGTCCAAATCGCAGTGCTATTGCATATTTTCACCTTTGTGAAATGGGTACTTCTTTGAATTAACTATCATATCTTTGTTTAATTTCTGTTAGAGTCTGTTTGACATGTTTTGTATGTAATACCAGAATTATTTGATGTTTTCATACCCTTTACCTAGTTTATTTTCCTTGCTTGCATATCTGTGGCTGTTTGCACATATAATTTTGCATGTATAATTAGGTTATGTAACAGCAGTCTAATTTGGGGCAATATGTTCTATATTTTCATTTGCTTGCATTGATGTGCTTGTATAGCTAGCTACTAAACAACTGCTTTCACTTCCTGATGTCCAACTTTATGCAGGGTGTCCATCCTTAAAAAAGATGTATACACCCTTTGACATATAGAATTCATACAAACTTCAACACTTTCAGTCTGAGAATCCATAATGTATGAGTATTTTAGAGACCCCAGCAACAGCTGCTGTTTCATTGACTGATCTGCTGACCTTAAAACATTAGACATGTTTCTTTTCTTCTGTGTTTTCCTTAAAAAAGGTGGTTGGCCCATTGTGTTGTCATTTACAGCTAGGCTGCAGTTTCTGCTCCTCTGAGGCCAACACATCTGATTTCAGCAAAACTTTAATCAGTTATCTTATGTGATATGCTCAAGGTACATTTGCATAGGACACATATTGAGAAAACCGTAGAACAATATAACTAGAATGTCTTTGCGCTGGAACCCCCAGGGCCATAGGAGTAAAGTAAGGCCAAAAAACACATGGAGAAGGGTGCTGGAGAATGAAGTTAGAAAGATGGGGAGAGCTGCATGCGATAGCAAAAGATGGAACGACTTGGCGTGAGCTGGTTGAGGGCCTTTGTTCCATTGGGGGATAGAAAGGCAGAAGAAGAAGAAGGTACATTTGCAAAATGTCTGTCCTCTCCCCTCACCCTCCCTTTTTTCCACTCCCAACCCCCAGGTGGCCCTCAAAACCATCACAAGGACTGTCGACCCTTTCATTCATTTCCCATACTCGCAAAACAAATCACACCGAGCCAAGCATAGATGCTCAGCTAACTCACACCAAGCCGTCTGAATGCTTATTCGTGATTGGTTGGTTGGTTTTTTTGCACCTAAGATTTTCTTGTGGGTTCCAGGGCCCTATGGTATGGGGAGGAGGATACTCCCCCCCCCCCCTACCTAAAAAAAATGTGTTGTAAAAGTGCTGTTTAGGGGTGTTTTGTTCACAGTCAGAGCACATTTTGCTTGAGAGGCAAGGAACCAACAATCTGCATACCAATAATCAAGATCTGTCAAATGGATGTGCATGCAGAACTCAGATTCTGGAACAAGACCATACAATCCCGAAAAGGATGAGTATCCAGAACCAAAAACCCTATACAGTGCAGATATAATAAAGAGAACTCACCAAGAACACCAGAAATTGTTCTTCTTATCAGAAATGCCTCTTATCCAGGTAAGAATTTAGGCAAGAAAAAATGCTGATGATAAACAGATTGTTTTTCACAACAGAAATTCGCCATATCCGAGATCGCCTTATGTGGTCTGCACTGTATTAACTTGGTCAAAGGTAGTCCGAGCAGTTAATTCATTGCTCTTTTTGTGTATAGTGATTATTTACTTTACTTTTTTTTTTTTTAATTCATATTTTCTGTTATTTTTGAATTATGTTAATTGGGCAAAACATTTTTTTTTTAAATCATGTTTAAAAACTTTGTGACTGCAGTGAAGCAGTGGCCTTCATGTTTTCCTATCTGCTTTGTAGTCTAGGTTTGGGTTTAAACTACGGATCAGCATCATGACACAAGGGTAGTAACCCATAAGTGCTCCGTTCTACTTCTAACTGAAGAATCTCAGCACAGTGTACCAACTCCGTAGCACTAGCGGGGATCCTGAAATACTTAAGATAGATTTTTAACTCCAAATTTTGCCCGGGCATCGCTGTTAGTCTACTCTTTTCGATTTCCTTTTGCTAAGAGATTTTTTAAATTTTATTTACGTGGACAACAATACACACGAGCAGGTCCAGTCTTGCTAAAGACCAGGAGAAATTACTAGAAGTCCACGTGAAAAAATCCCAACTTTTACTGGGGCTTGAACCTGGGACCTCCAACACTCAAGGCGGACACCATATCTTGAGACCACGCAGCACCCAGCTTAATAGTTTGCTGGTTCTAGCCCCTGGTCTTTTATACAAAAAATTTCCCCCCCAATTTCCAATTTCTTCTGTTTCTTTTCTTCACCCAGTTTACAAGGGCAGAGATTATGAATATTATACAGAATTGTTGTTTCTTAAAATGAACTTTGGAAAAAATTTTTTTTTTTTTTTTAAAGATTTTTATGGGTTGAAAAAGAAAACGTGAGCGTTTGAACTGAAATGCTACAGAAAAATTCTTAGAATACAGTAGACCAAGAAAAGGAAACATTTCAACGTCCTTCGTGACCTGAACATCAAGGAGAACTGGCTCATAAACAGCACCCTCTCCTGAAAGCTGAGGTATTATTTGGACATATCAAGAGCTGTGGTGGTCTGAAGACAATGGTGATGGAAAGTGCAGTTTCTGGAAAACGTGGCAGAGGCCAGCTTCCTCAAACGTGGATGCGGGACATTGAAGATGCAGTGTCTATAAAAGCACACAGGGCTGGAGAATTGGCTAGAGAAAGAGAGGCTTTAAGGTGTGCCGTGAAGAGAGCGAAGTTTTGTAAAGGATTTGCTGACTGATTGGTTGAAAGGGTTGAACTGGAAGGTATGGGCCATGATTTTTAGGGATAAAATAATTAAAGAAGGGTGAAACACTATTGCAAAAAATGGAAAATTCATCTGGATGTTTATGAATATTCTTGGATGACTTTCCCTTGTGTAATTGTTAAGTTTCAAAAGTGATTATTGACCTAGTTATATGATTGTTATTTCAGGAGTGGTCAATGTTCTGATTACAACCCCTCTGTGGGTGGCCAACACACGATTGAAACTGCAGGGTGCCAAGCTGCACACAGCGCACTACAACAAGAGGGATGGCCCTAGCAAAGATTCTGATCAGAAATACACAGGAATTCTCGGTCAGCACATCCATTTTGTGTTCTTTTTTTAGTTTAGTCTTCTTCTTCTTTTTCTTCCTCTTTTTCTTCTTCTTCTTTTTCTTCTTCTTCTTCTTCTTTTTCTTCTTCTTCTTCTTCTTCTTCTTCTTCTTCTTCCTCCTCTTCTTCTTCTGTTTCTTCTTCGTCTTCTTCCTTTTCTTTTTCTTCTCTCTCTCCTCTTCATTATTTGTTCTTCTTATTATTCTTCTTCCTATTTTTTATTCTTTCTTTTTTCCCCATTTCCTCTTTTTTCTTCATCCTCTTCTTTGTTTCTTTTGTTGTTGTTGTTGTGAGGAGTGTCAATCACACTAATTTATATATCTCTCCAGCTTGGAAATCTTTGTTCTTTAGATGCTTTCAATAAGAGCTAGACACTTAACGTTTAACCCCTCTACAAGATTTTATCAAATAAAGAGCAGAGGTGTGTTGAAGCTATATAAACAAAAATATTTACATTAAAGATTGTTTACTTTAAGATATTGTTAATTTGAAATGGCTTCATTAGATTTTTTAATTCTAGTCTTGGTCAGATATGATTGAGTGATCAGTGTTTTAGGAGGTAAGCTCTGACAGGCAGACAGGCAGACAAAGCACTGCTGTTCTGACCTGACTGCTTCTGTAGCAAGCTTTGTTCCAAACATAATGGTATTATACAGCAGAAGAAGAAGAAGTATAATTATATAGCCATATTATTATTATCCTCAGTGATAATCGCCGTGGGGTAACAGCGGGAGTCATCATAAATGTGTGTGTGTGTGAAAGATAGAGGGAGGTAATACCAGGGCGATGCAAGATCCCCCGCTCCCTTTATGGTAATGTGATTAGAAGGAGGAGGACAGTAGATTTTACTAGAGATACAGAAAATATGGAAATACTTTTTGTTATCAGTGTGTTCTTGATAAATAATTTAATTTTTACCGGTATGTCTGCAAACTGCTTATAACAACAACAACAACAAAAAAAACTCTTTGGCTTTTTGTTTTATAAAAACTTTAAAAAAATATTTTATAATTAAACTGGCAAAAAAATGTTAGTAACCTGATTAGGACGAGTAGAAATGCACTCAAGTTCATTACTGTTTGACACCCTCTTGAAACCTCCTCATGCCGCCCCCCCCCCCCCCCCAATTTGGAGACCACTGCGTTAGAATATATGTGTTAGACTGCATCAGGGGGCTGCGTGGTCTTGAGGCATGGTGGTCGCCTCGAGTGCTAGAAGTCCTGGGTTCAGGCCCCAGTAAAGGCTGAGAATTTTTTTTTTCTAGTGGGCGTCTAGTAATTTCCCCTGGTTTCTGGGTAGGATGATCGGACGCCCTTGTGTATTGTTGCGCACGTTAAAAAAATAAATCCCTTGGCAGTTGGAAATTTTAAAGTGTGGCCTAACGGCGCTGCCTGGACAAAATTTGGAGTTAAAATTCTACCCCCCCCCCCCCCCCCCTCCCAAATGCCAGGATTCTTGCCGGTGCTGCGGAGCCTGTACACTGCGGTGAGCTACTTCGGACTTAGATTTGAGTTAGAAGTAGAACGAAGTACTTATGGGTTACTACCCTTGTGCCATGATGTTGATCTGTTGTTCAGACTTCTGTTAGACTGCATTAACAGATACTGGTTGCATTTAGAACGTCTGTGTTAGACTTCATTAACCAGTATTGTTCAGTGACCAATTAATTAATGTTTTTTCACCACAGATTGCCTATTAAAGATAATCAACCGAGAAGGCATCCAGAAGTTGTGGGGTGGGACAGTGCCTTCAATTTTGCTGGCGACTAATCCAGCTATTCAGTTTATGGTCTACGAGGCTCTAAAACGTTACTTCAGAGGCCTGTTCCATGTACCAGTAAGTGTTGCAATATAGATTTATAGCTCAGAGAGAAAAGACAACAATCAACTAATGTTGTCGTCCCCTTGTGGGATGCAATTTTTACTTATTTTGAAGCCCCACCCTGGCTTTTGCTGGCGGGTCCTAAATATAGCCGCCACTGAAATATGACCTAACGGCTGAACGGGGTTTCCAGGACCTCTTCACAGGTGATCTTCATCTGCATGGTAGCACTTAATGTCACCGGGTGTTTATCACTTGTGTGATGTCCTGGTGGGGTACAACTTACATACATTACAAACATACAGTCAACATCATTTTCCTGTTGTGCTGTTACAATCATGTCAGGCTTGCAGTCAAGCCCTCCATTCTTTTCTGCCCTGTCCAGTCTAGAACCTTTGATTTCTCAAAGCAACATATGTTTTAGGGTTTCTTGGATGTTATCATTTCCTCAGTTCATCTGTTTCCCATTTCACTGCCTGTTTGGTGATTTGCAGCTGCCATATTCTAAAAGTGTGCCTAGTATAGCATCACCACATTAGTCTTATACCTGTTGATACTAGTGGTTGTCCAGACATTTCTCTTTTTTTTTTTCATCTTTCCTGAATTCAAATAGGTAACAGGTCCTTTTTCCACGTTTTTATGTGTATTGGGAATATAGGGCTAGACCTATTTTTTTATAGACCAATCGGCACTTGTTGGGTGATGTGGTCAGCATCATGCTGGCCGCTTCTCAGGACTGCACCTGATACCCACTCAGGGCTGGGTCGACCTGGGAGTCAAGGTCATTTTTGAAAAAAGTCCAGATAGGTTAAAGTAGGCTGCCATAAATGATGACTGACTAGTCTGTAGGTTACAGTGTGTTTGCCACACTTCAATTACCCTGCCCCAGTTATCATTATCAGGTTAATCAGTCGAAAGACGGATGGGGATTTCATCTGCTCATGTCAGGCCATTGTATGGTGTTCTCAGTATTTCTCTTTGGTATAAATTATAATGCCATTTGTGACTGTCCTCTGTTTCTTCTTATTCTTCTTTTTGTTCTTCTTTTTCTTCTTCTTTGATCCTCTGTCAGGAAGACATTTTTTTTTCTTCAGGAGGCTAGTAGCCTTGATGAAAGCTGCCGTGTTGTCATAATCTCCCTCTGTCTGTGTGATGTAGTTGTATTTTGGGGGGGTAGGGGGGGGGGGGGGGGGGGGGGGGGGTGGTTATCTTTTATCTTTTCATCAGAAGTTAATGTTATCAGTAGTATACCCAGTTCTGGATTTATGCATAAGCTAAATAAGCTACAGCTTGGGTCTGCACAGTCTGCAGGGGCCCCAACAATTTACTGTTTGTTTTTCACAAATGCAATTTAACTTTCTTTTAATATATTTTACCTGCAACTTTCTTTTAATAGAGATTTTTAGAGGACTATATGAAGTAATTTCTATGATTTTGCATAACATGTTTTTTTAATTATGCCTAGTATGGTATGGCGTCACAAAGCATTTTCTTTCAGCCACAATAATGTTTAAGAGAGAAATTGTTGATGATGATTCTGTCTTTTATTTTGCAGGAGCTGAGTGGACTAATGTATTTTATATTAGGGGCTGTAGCGAAAACAGTTTCTACGGTGATTACCTACCCCTTACAAGTAATACAGAGCAGGCTCAGGGCAAGTACAGTTTGTTTTCTATGTGTTTGTTATCGTGGTACTTTGTCACTTCTGGGTCATTTGTCATCCTGGTAATTTTAATTTATATCATTTGTCATCATGGTACTTGTCATTCCTGTGTCCTTTGTCATTATGGTACTTGTCATTTCTGGGTCGTTTGTCATGGTATTTTTCATTTCTGTGTCATTTGTCAGCATGGTACTTGTCATTCCTGTGTCCTTTGTCATCATGGTACTTGTCATTTCTGGGTCGTTTGTCATGGTATTTGTCATTTCTGTGTCATTTGTCAGCATGGTACTTGTCATTCCTGTGTCCTTTGTCATCATGGTACTTGTCATTCCTGTGTCCTTTGTCATTATGGTACTTGTCATTTCTGGGTCATTTGTCATGGTATTTGTCATTTCTGTGTCATTTGTCAGCATGGTACTTGTCATTACTGTGTCATTTGTTAGCATGGTACTTGCCACTTCTGTGTCATTTGTCATCATGGTACTTGTCATTCCTGTGTCCTTTGTCATCATGGTACTTGTCATTCCTGTGTCCTTTGACATCATGGTACTTGTCATTTCTGGGTCGTTTGTCATGGTATTTGTCATTTCTGTGTCATTTGTCAGCATGGTACTTGTCATTCCTGTGTCCTTTGTCATCATGGTACTTGTCATTCCTGTGTCCTTTGTCATTATGGTACTTGTCATTTCTGGGTCATTTGTCATGGTATTTGTCATTTCTGTGTCATTTGTCAGCATGGTACTTGTCATTACTGTGTCATTTGTTAGCATGGTACTTGCCACTTCTGTGTCATTTGTCATCATGGTACTTGTCATTCCTGTGTCCTTTGTCATCATGGTACTTGTCATTTCTGTGTCATTTGACATCATGGTACTTGTCATTTCTGGGTCGTTTGTCATGGTATTTGTCATTTCTGTGTCATTTGTCAGCATGGTACTTGTCATTCCTGTGTCCTTTGTCATCATGGTACTTGTCATTTCTGTGTCCTTTGTCATTATGGTACTTGTCATTTCTGGGTCGTTTGTCATGGTATTTGTCATTTATGTGTCATTTGTCAGCATGGTACTTGTCATTACTGTGTCATTTGTTAGCATGGTACTTGCCACTTCTGTGTCATTTGTCATCATGGTACTTGTCATTCATTTGTCATCATGGTACTTGTCATTCCTAAGTCATTTGTTATCATGGTACTTTTAATTTTTTAATTTAATACTGAAATAAACACTTATATCCCAATTAAAATCCAGATAGTTGAACAGGATACTGTTGTGTAAATTACTACTGCTAGTTATCTCACATGTTTGAGATACATTCTGTGGTAGGGTTACTTTATGGGATTCAGTTTTATTACATAATTGTAGTTATTTTTTGTGATTCCATGGTCTCATTATGTAATTAATTTACACTATATGGTTCAGTTATTTATTTGATTCAGAACCCCCGTGTGGGTTCCGGGGCCCTATTGTGGGGAAAACAAGAATAGATCCATTGCCTCCCCAAAAGCATGTTGTAGGAGTCGACTAACTGGGGACCTTCCTTTGAAGTCGGAGTGAATCTGCCTGAGAGGCAAGGAACCAGCAGTCTGCATTCAATTGAATCAGATCTGTAAAACTGATACACACGCAGGTTCTGGAGCAGGACTGCAGTCCAGAAGTGGACGAACAACCAGAACTTTACGCCAGAGTGTACAGCTGGTGAACGCGAAGAAGAAGAAGAAGAAGTTGAATTTATAATATAGTTACATTATATGGTACATTTATTTATGTAGTTCAATTATATTATAGTTACTTTATGTTTCACAGGCTGGCTATGCCAAACATGAAAGTTCACTAACATTAGTTGAGAACCTGCTACATTTAATCAAGTAAGTTCTATTGATTGTTTATATGTGTAGAATGGATAAATGCAATCTTTTGATCATCATTTCATCATCAACTCTCAGATTTTAGATGCGGCAGGCACCCTTTAACAAACACCTTCATACAGTGATGGCAGACCAGGTGCCCTAGTACAAGGATAGTCAAACAGAGGAGACAAGAAATCAACATCTTTTGAAAGACCCTGTGCTGGCTGGATTATTTTTTAGAGCCTTTCTAACGTCAGCATGCTCTGTTGAGACACAGACCAGCATGTTGTGTTGAGACACAAACCAGCATGTTGTTTTGAGACACAGACCAGAATGCTCTGTTGAGACACAGACCAGCATGTTGTGTTGAGACACAAACCAGCATGTTGTTTTGAGACACAGACCAGAAAGCTCTGTTGAGACACAGACCAGCATGTTGTGTTGAGACACAAACCAGCATGTTGTGTTGAGACACAGACCAGGATGCTCTGTTGAGACACAGACCAGCATGTTGTGTTGAGACACAAACCAGCATGTTGTTTTGAGACACAGACCAGAAAGCTCTGTTGAGACACAGACCAGCATGTTGTGTTGAGACACAAACCAGCATGTTGTTTTGAGACACAGACCAGAATGCTCTGTTGAGACAAAGACCAGCATGTTGTTTTGAGACGGACCAGAATACTCTGTTAAGACACTGACTAGAATGCTGTGTTGAGACACAGACCAGAATGCTCTGTTGAGACACAAACCAGCATGTTGTTTTGAGACATAGACTAATGTGCTGTGTTAAGACAGACCAACAAGCTGTTTTGAGACATAAAACAGTGTGCTGTGTTAAGTCAGACCAACATGCTGTGCTGAGACACAGACCAATGTGCTGTGTTAAGACAGACCAACAAGCTGTGCTGAGACATAGACCAACAAGCTATGTTGAGACACAGACCAATGTGCTGTGGTGAGACACAGACTGGCATGTTGTGTTGAGACACAGACCAGCATGTTGTTTTGAGACACATACCAGAATGCTCTGTTGAGATACAGACCATCATGTTGTGTTGAGACACAGACCAGCATGTTGTGTTGAGACACAGACCAACATGTTTCTTGAGACACAGACCAGTATGCTGTGTTGAGATACAGACCAACATGTTGTATTGAAATACAGACCAAAATGCTGTGTTGAGATACAGACCAATATGCTGTGTTGAGACACAGACCAACATGCTGTGTTGAGATACAGACAAACATGCTGTGTTGAGATACAGACAAACATGCTGTGTTGAGATACAGACCAACATGCTCTGTTGAGACACAGACCAGCATACTCTGTTGAGACACAGGCCAGCAGGTTGTCTTGAGACACAGACCAATATGCTGTGTTGAGACACAGACCAACATGCTCTGTTGAGACACAGACAACTAAAGAGATGTAATTTTAAGTGACAACTGGTGACTAGACGTAGGAGACACAACAGCAGCAATTCTGCGTGTGCATCAATAATTTTTAAATAGTATTAGAAAACAATTTATCGGTTAGAAAAGACAACAAATAGATGAGACCAACAAGAATTCATTTTGAAAAATATTGGTAATTACGACAAATAGAATTAAGGAGATTTTTTTGGGGGGACAGTTTTTGCGTTTTGACAGTGATAGGCACCAGTGTGCTCACTGCTATTGTTGTGAATATTACTTGTTGAGGCCACAGTCTCTTCCACGGTTCAACTCTTATCCGACTGTTCCACTCCCTTAAGAGCATTTTGTTTTTTAAATTAACCATACTCTGTAGAAATCCAACCCTAGTACTGGAGAATGATGGAATTGTGAAACTCACTAACCTCTAGGCCATAAAATCACACAAGAGGTTAAATACTTGTAATGCAAACAGTAATGGCTTTTCTTTGTGTTGTTTTACCTGAGAACAGTATAACTGGAATGGCTTGACACTAGAACCCTGGAACCCACAGGGATAGAAAAATAAAAGCAGACCAACACAAGAAAATACATTGAGGATGCAGCTAGAGAGTGACAATTGCAAAATGCAGAAGACATGGAGTGAGCTGCATGCAATAACAAAGATCAGGACCACTTGGCATGAGTTGACTGAAGACCTATGCTCCGCTGGAGGATTAAGGGCTAAAGAAGAAGCGTAGCTAAAAACAGCCAGATTCGAGAGCAACCCAACAAAAAGACTCCATAACAAACAATGAGCGAAGCGATGGGAAACTGACAACACAAAGGATAACCTGATTAGATGACAGCGTGACCAGTAACCACAAACATAACAGAGAGGGCAGAGAACAGCAATGTTTTCTGACCCTTAGCTGAAAGTGGTCATGGCAAATATTGAACTGAATTGAATTGTGTCGCTAAAATATTCCTTTGTTTAGTTCCTTCATCTCCTATTTCCTTCCCTGCCTTTCTAGAGCCTTTGTATTCAATGTTTTTCCCAGAAATACAAATTATTTTTTTGGTGATCTTGTCCACATCTCCAGGTCTCAGTTTTACTTTCAAAATAGTAAAAAGTAAAGATCCCTTTTCACGCTCTTAGGTGCATGGGCATATGGGAAAAGCACCCATATTTTTACAGACCAATCGGCACTAGGTGGGTAATGTGGTCAGCATTACGCAGGCCTTCTTTACTTCCCTAGGACATACATCCTGGTACCCATTTAAGCTGGGTCGACCTGCAACAACTCCTACCATGATAAAAATCCACACAGCCAGCAGTGGGTTGCCATTGCAGTAGGTTAGAATTACGAGTCGGACTCGCAATGCCTAAGCACAGACGCCACACTTACTTTCAAAATACCTGTGTCTAAACACCAGAGACCTGCAGTGGGTATGCCATATTCAACGATTGAATCGCACTTCCTTTATTTCTGTGTACTTTTCAGAACTCGTGGATTTGGTGCCCTGTACAAAGGCATGGAGGCTAAACTTCTACAAACAGTACTCACCGCAGCTCTGATGTTTCTCATCTATGAAAAGATTGCCGCCTTTATATTCCATTTAATGGGCCTAAAGTAGATGTTTACTGGGCCTAAAATAGATGTTTACTGGGCCTGAGGTAGATGTTTACTGGGCCTGAGGTAGATGTTTACTGGGCTGAAGTAGATGTTTACTGGGCCTGAAGTAGATGTTTACTGGGCCTGAAGTAGATGTTTACTGGGCCTGAAGTAGATGTTTACTGGGCCTGAAGTAGATGTTTACTGGGCCTGAAGTAGATGTTTACTGGGCCTGAAGTAGATGTTTACTGGGCTGAAGTAGATGTTTACTGGGCCTGAAGTAGATGTTTACTGGGCTGAAGTAGATGTTTACTGGGCTGAAGTAGATGTTTACTGGGCCTGAAGTAGATGTTTACTGGGCTGAAGTAGATGTTTACTGGGCCTGAAGTAGATGTTTACTGGCCTGAAGTAGATGTTTACTGGGCTGAAGTAGATGTTTACTGGGCTGAAGTAGATGTTTACTGGGCCTGAAGTAGATGTTTACTGGGCTGAAGTAGATGTTTACTGGGCCTAAAATAGATGTTTACTGGGCCTGAGGTAGATGTTTACTGGGCCTGAAGTAGATGTTTACTGGGCCTGAAGTAGATGTTTACTGGGCCTGAAGTAGATGCTTACTGGGCCTGAAGTAGATGTTTACTGGGCCTGAAGTAGATGTTTACTGGGCCTGAAGTAGATGTTTACTGGGCCTGAAGTAGATGTTTACTGGGCCTGAAGTAGATGTTTACTGGGCTGAAGTAGATGTTTAATGGGCCTGAAGTAGATGTTTACTGGGCCTGAGGTAGATGTTTACTGGGCTGAAGTAGATGTTTACCGGCCTGAAGTAGATATTTACTGGGCCTGAAGTAGATGTTTACTGGGCCTGAAGTAGATGTTTACTGGGCCTGAAGTAGATGTTTACTGGGCCTGAAGTAGATGTTTATTGGGCCTGAAGTAGATGTTTACTGGGCTTGAGGTAGATGTTTACTGGGCTGAAGTAGATGTTTACTGGGCCTGAGGTAGATGTTTACCGGCCTGAGGTAGATGTTTACTGGGCCTGAAGTAGATGTTTACTGGGCCTGAAGTAGATGTTTACTGAGCTGAAGTAAATGTTTACTGGGCTTGAAGTAGATGTTTACTGGGGCTGAAGTAGATGTTTACTGGGCCTGAAGTAGATGTTTACTCGGCTGAAGTAGATGTTTACTCGGCTGAAGTAGATGTTTACTGGGCTGAAGTAGATGTTTACCGGGCTGAAGTAGATGTTTACCGGCCTGAAGTAGATGTTTACTGGGCCTGAGGTAGATGTTTACTGGGCTGAAGTAGATGTTTACTGGGCTTGAAGTAGATGTTTACTGGGCCTGAAGTAGATGTTTACTGGGCTGAAGTAGATGTTTACTGGGCCTGAAGTAGATGTTTACTGGGCTGAAGTAGATGTTTACTGGGGCTGAGGTAGATGTTTACTGGGGCTGAGGTAGATGTTTACTGGGGCTGAAGTAGATGTTTACTGGGCCTGAGGTAGATGTTTACTGGGCCTGAGGTAGATGTTTACTGGGCCTGAGGTAGATGTTTACTGGGCCTGAAGTAGATGTTTACTGGGCCTGAAGTAGATGTTTACTGGGCCTGAAGTAGATGTTTACCGGGCCTGAAGTAGATGTTTACCGGGGCTGAAGTAGATGTTTACTGGGCCTGAAGTAGATGTTTACTGGGCTGAAGTAGATGTTTACTGGGCTGAAGTAGATGTTTACTGGGCTGAAGTAGATGTTTACTGGGCTGAAGTAGATGTTTACTGGGCCTGAGGTAGATGTTTACTGGGCCTGAGGTAGATGTTTACTGGGCTGAAGTAGATGTTTACTGGGCTGAAGTAGATGTTTACCGGACCTGAAGTAGATGTTTACCGGACCTGAAGTAGATGTTTACTGGCCTGAAGTAGATGTTTAATGGCCTGAAGTAGATGTTCACCGGACCTGAAGTAGATGTTTACCGGACCTGAAGTAGATGTTTACCGGACCTGAAGTAGATGTTTACTCAGCCTATGAAAGATATTTAATAGGCCTGTGGTCCATGTTGATTAGTCTGTGTTGTTGTTGTTTTTTTTTTTTTTTAAGTTTATTAATTTGATACTGTAATGTACTGCTGGTGTGTTTGCATCTGTTTTTATTTACTTGGAGAAGATCAAACTGTTGGTAATTTGGAGGAATGACCGCTGACTTGTTTATGTGAATTACAATGCTATGGTCTTATGACCTGTCCGTATTGTTGTTAGGGATATCAAGAGTGTTAAGCACATGGGCGACAAACACAGTGGCATCATAATGTCATTGTAAAAATGGCTGCCCCACTTTTGACATGTATTATTGTTAATCCCTACCTGAATAGTTTTGGGGCAACTAGATTAGCCATGCAGGCCCTAAATCCTTCAGATGAAAGACTCTCTTTACTGTACATTGCCCTAAAAAATGGCCACATGAGGGAAGGGAACAGTTTTGAAAAACTGTTGTTGTGTTTTATATTATTGTATTTGATAATATTTTCCTTTCATGTTAAAGCATAAGGCAGGCCCATGGCAGGTAATAATGCTGTTGGGGTGTTAATGACTCTCTGTTCTCTTCTATCTGGCTCTAGTCACTGCACGCTTCCATTCACTGACCGACAACACACGAGAAAACATGGACGCTGGCGAACGATACAAATTATACCGCCGTTTATTTGTTCACTCGCTGGTACTGCAGCCAGTACATGTTATAGTACATCACAGTCACTCAAATCTATCCTTGTAGTGTCCTGTAAAGTATGCAAACTTCTGTATCAGGGCTTTTCAACTGGCGGCATGTGGGCCCAGTCTGGGCTGGAGAGGCTTAGCAAGTGGCCTGCGGATCATTGTCAGTTGTATTGTGTTAATAATCTGTCATTGTTGGGGCTCAGGCTTTTGGTCCGTGATGATACCTATTTTCAAAATGTTGGCCCCTGAGTAAACTTTGTTGTTCATCTAATTTCCCTATTCTGCCTGCACAGAATAGCGGAAAATGGGATGATAGAATCACTAATGTCAAGCTTTGGGAGAGGACTGAAGAAATTTCAGTGAGTCAAGAAGTGGAGAAAAGTTGCTGGTGTTGGATAGGACACATGCTGAGAAAAGCTGAGAACAATATAACTAGAATGTTTTTGTCATGGGACCCAACAGGTGCATAGAAATAAAAAAATGAGCCAAAACACACACAAAGAAAGGAGCTAGAGAATGAAGTTAAAAGGATGGGGAGGATGTGGGGTGAGCTGCATGCAATAGTGAAGGATAGACAAATTTGGCATGAGTTGGTTGAGGGCCTGTACTCCAGTAGGGGTTAGATGGCAGAAGAAGAAGAAACTTAGTTGAATAGCCATCTTCTGCACTGCACTTAAAACCACACATCCCCCCCCCTCCTCCTCCTCCTCCTCCTCCTCCTCCGTAATGAGGTAACTTGTGGATGTGACCATGGACCACCCTTAGAAAACAATGGACCAAGTACAGAAAAAATACTAGCATCCTACAAAACCTGAACAGCAAAGAAAATGAGCTCATAAATATGAGGTCTCTGAAAATGTAAATAGTTGTAGAAAGAACAATAATGAAAGATACTGCTACTGGAAGTCGAGACAGAGAGCATACAAGATCATGGCGTACATAGGGCATTAAGGAGACCATGAATATGACAATAGTGTGGGTTCTGAATAGATGTTACCTTGGGTCAGATAGAATAAATGCTAACATCTGCTCAAAACAATGTTTTTCCATAATGAATTTAAAAAATGTGGACACAAACGGTTCATTACACCATCTATTGCCAGGCATATTTCACAGTATCTTGTCAGAGGCATTACTACAGAGTTACATCAACATATAATGAAGCACAAAAACTGAATTCATTCCACTGAAATACACATCATATGGTTTCTCTATGTGCATTGTATGATCTTCACAATAGTCACTTGGCTTACCAGGGGGCTTCCAATTTATGAGTTCCCCCTATGGTACATTTGATAACGGCATAATTGTATTGACTGAAGCAAGTGGTTCAGCGCTGTTGGGAGTCGGTGATATCTTTACTACAAATGTTGATGGTACATAATGATTTTATTAAACTGTTGACATCTGTTGCACAATTTGGGTCTGTTGTGGATCATTTCAATATATGTTTAGTTTGATTTCTTTTGCTGGTTAACAAGACTTCTTGTACGCCCTATGCGCCTCTCATACCTGGCTGTGCTGATCTTTATTCCCAATTCTCGCATTCTTAGCAGTGATTTGGACATACTGCTTCAAAAATCCTTTGATCGTCCTCTCTCTCTCTCTCTCTCTAAAACAGTGATTCTCAACCTTCCTAATGTGGTGATCCTTTAATAACTCCTCATGCTGTGGCGATCCCTAGACATAACATTATTTTCGTTGCTGCTTCATTACTTCAGTGAATATGTGTTTTCTGATTGTCTTACATGATCCATGAGAAAGGGTCATTTGACCCCCAAAAGGTTCGCTACCCACAAGTTGAAAACCGCTGCTCTATAGGTATTATCAATGTTGGCGTGATCCATAGTTCGGCCATCTGCAACTAAAGAACTGGAGAGTAGAAGAAAGGTACTTGTAGTATGTTCGTGGTCAAAGGAAACACTCACCCCTTCAAGTGGTGAAGGAGGGTGATCTTACACAGTTGTGTGTAGATGGGCAGATACAGCTCAGGTTCCCAAGTAAACATTTGCCATTGATACATCGGTCATATGATGCTAGCAGAGGTGCCAACACACAGAAAACAAGGAGTAGGCTTAGCACTATTAAACATTTTGTCGTGCTGGAGAAAGGTTAATCTGATCTAAGTCTTGTTTAAGTGCTAATAATAATAATGATAATGTGTGTCATGATAGCCAGGAGAGAAGAGGGATGGAGAGTACAGTTTCATGAAACCTCAGCAAGGGTGGATATAAACAAATGAAGATACCTTGACTGTGACCGGCGTTGATACCAGATGCTGGCTATTTGGTAGCAGACTGCAGGGCGAGGGAGAGCCGGCCGTTGAGTGGCAATATGCAGACGACTTAGTGTAAACTTGCCTAATGAAATCACAAATATGTGCATCAAAAGAGGACTACTAAAGTGGTTGGGGTGGGGAAGAGGATGAGGCTGTTTAGCTCTCTCAAAAAGCTGCTTTACTCCCAAAAAAGCTGTTTAACTCTCAAAAAGCTGTTTTTATTTCGGGGAGTGGGGGACTGAGTCTAATTTTTTTTTAAGTTCTCCCCCCCCCCCCCCTAATTCCCTCACCCCAGCACGCCGGGTCGTCTTAAGCAGGGACCCGCTGGGCACTTGCATAGGACTCCTTTTAATCAATCTGTGTATTGTCGGTATCCTACCCACACCTAGAGTTTCTAGTTCTACAATCTTGTTTGTATCTGCTGTATACTGAAAAGCACCAGTGAAACCAGAAACCTGTGGTATTCCCGGGACCAAATCCAGAGCCAAGAGAGCAAATCTACGGGAATGCAGGATAGCCAATCTCTAGTTCACTAGCCAGAGACAAACCCCATTTTCCATGAGAGCAGACATCAAATTATCGTATCTAACTCTGTTGTAGAATCCCCAAGATCAAGTGCTGCCACCACTGTCCCCTGTCCATTCTGAATAGGTTAGTTGCCTATCCTTTACAGGAAGTTGCAGAACCAACCCCAGCAGCCCCTGGCTGTTGTGTGGTTTTTCTAGGCAAATTTACGTCCAGTAGTTTGCCATTTCTTTCTGGACGGTCGACTTTCTTGATACCACTGTCGAAACCAACGCAAGGCGCATGGCCCGCAGCTGTGATCGAACCCAACATTACGAAGCGTTCGCATCGACTTAGCCACAGAGCCGACGTCCATTCTGAAACCCTTCATAAATATCAGAAACCAAAATGGCTGACTTTGACCAGATATATTTCTCAGCATCTTTAGACAAATTATGGCCTCTCGAGTACCACTGTTTTTACGGAATCCAAATTGCTCTTCAGAAACTTCTTTCTCTATTTTATTTTGAATTCTTGCTTGTATTATCTTCAAGAGTAACTTAGTTACGTGACTCATTAGGCTAATAGTTCTGTAATCTTCTTCTACCCTAACACTACTAGTAGTATGTGAACATCTTGTCATCCCTTTATGAAATGCAATTTTTAAAAGTTATTTTGAAGCCCTACCCTGGCTTTTGTCGGGGCCCTAAACATAGCAGGGCCTGAAATATGGCCTAACGGCGTAACTGGATTTCCGGGACCTTCCCACGAGTAATCCTCATCCGCAGGGTGGTGCTTTGTGTCACCGGGTGTTTATCGCTTGTGTAATGTCCTGGAGGGGTGCAGCTTACATACATACATTCTTTCCATACCGTGGTGATGTATTTTTTGCTTTTGGGTATCGCAAAAGGCTAGACTGGCTCTGGACAAAATCCAAAGGAGGCTTACTAGCCAACTTCTACCTTAGAAGCAGTGCAGGGCTCTCTGCACAAAACATGCTTCGTTTCACCGTTCTTGGCTTTCGTTGGTCCATTACACTCCCTGTGACCGCTACCACCTCTTCTCCATTTGGCAGACGTGCACCGACTGCCTACACATGCCTTTTGTGTTCAGTACAACAAGGTGGGCTGGAGCGGTGGCTGTCTGGTTAGTGTGAATAAACAGAAAAAGATTAAGAAGATAATGACGTTGTAACTATTGCCTTTACTCTTTCTCTCCATCTACGTCAGCTGCTGTCAAGTTCAAGGTTTGTTAGGACACGGGAGAGAAGGGGCAGGAGAATTAGGATGATGATAATAATAATATTGATGATAATAATAGTAATGACAATAATAATTTTCTTCTTTTACCGGCTGTAAACTCCAATGGAAAGTTCTGGATATTCGTCCTTTAGTCTTGTTCCAGTGTTGCATGCACATCCGTTTGACACGTCTGACTTAACTGTATGCATTATTTTTGTTTTTGCTATGTGTAAGTTTTGATTTTCACTATTTCTTTGGGTTGAGGTTATTAAGTTTTCCGTACTAGTCTGTGATGTAGACAGCAATACTGAATTGTCGGCATATCAGATTTCTGGTATTTCATGACCTCCGATATTTAGGACATCATATTGCTCTCTGGTTATATCATCTCGGACATTTCTCATTTTACTTTCGGTGTACAGGTTAAACAAATAGTGTGACAGACCACATCCCTGACGGACTCCTTGCTTGATGTCAAACCAGTCTGGTGTCTCGCCATCTATTCTAACCGCTGCTTGTTGGTCTAGATAGACAATTTTTTAGGTGTACCACATGTGATTGAAAATCTCATATTCCTCATGATTTCCCAAAGTTCCTGATGTTCACAATCAAATGTCTTTGTGTAATCCACAAAACCTGAGAATAGGTTTACATTAAATTTTCTGGACTTCTCTTTTATTAAACGCATGTTGAGGGTGTGATCTCTTGTTCCTCTTCCTTGTCTCAATCTCTTCTTCCGTTTTTTTACGAAGTCTTCCCATTATGATTTTTAGTAGAATTTTACTTGAATATTTGTTGTTTTAGTATCCAGAAGCCATGAGTTGTCAACCCTTAGGCTCGGTATTATGGATATCGCAACCTTTCGGCCTTGATTCCATTGTAAATACCGTAAATCTGGGAGAAAATGTGGCTTTCCTGCCTACCCCCGGGATTGAACCCGGACCACAAGGAGTTCGTCACCCGGTCTTCGCGCAATCCGGTTTAGCCAACTACGCTAGAGAGCCGGGTAATTTTACTTGTTTAACTTTTCAAAGCAAGCCTATCAGCTTGCACATTTTCTTGCACGCTTGATGCGCTGGCACGAATATGAAACGGATATCCGTCAACTTAGACAGCTTCAGAGACTCCAGCCACTCTCCAGACCCAGCCCATCTCTATCTCCCTGAGCAAACCCACTGAGTCACTAAGAAACATTCGCGTGTAAAGGCCTGTGTCTTCAGCCATGTTATTGCTCTGGTCACTGCCATGATCTCCATAGGTAGATGACTACTTGTCGCCGTGGCAACAGCACCAGAATCTCGGTTCACAATTCTAACTCCAGCCAGAACTGTAAACGCTCACCAACTTCTCACATGGCGAATCACAGATCCACCACTATGAATTATAGCACTCCCGTCTAGAGAATTATTCAGATAATGAATTCATTACGTTCTTTTTAGGACGTAATTTTTTGTTTTTTGAAGCCCCACTCTGGCTTTTGTCAGGGGCCGCAATATAGACAGGCCATAAATATGGCTAATTGAAATTGTCTGAACGCGGTTTCTGGGACCTCTCCGCGGTGATCCTCATCCACGTGGTGGCACTTTGTGCCATCGGGTGTTAATCGCATGTGTGATGTCCTAGTGGGGAAGATAGTCAGTCAGTCAGTCTAGAGAATTCAGAAGATCAAAGCCTGCACTTGTGTCTCCACAGCGGCCTGACTTTCTTATCTGCATTTCTGTCTAGTCCGAAGCAAACAAAAAAGGTCGTACGGCGGCACTATTGGTACTTGTACCTATTCCTTACCAGTTTCTATGTCCTGACGTGAACACACCTGCTGAATGTCCTCGGCCATGGCCTGACCTATCCACGATTTTCCTCTTTTTTAACCTGCTGCATTTTTACCCTTCTTAATTCCACTATGCAGCTGGTGTCGTGTGTCTGCGTTGACTTGAGATAGGCACGATTAGCATTTCTTAGGATATCCTAAGCTGGACCTCAAATCGCAGTGATTTCCTACTCCAACTTTTTAATCACTGTATTGTAAACGCAAAATTTATCCGGGTCTTTGCATCATGGAGAACAAGATTGTGTGATCACCTGATTTCATGGGCTCTTCGTATATTGTTAATTTTCAAAATTTCTAGTTTCTCGAGTCGAAAGAGATGGAAAGACGCAGAATCAGGAGAAAACACGGAAACACACACATCAGCTTGGTCGACATCAAGCAGTATCTCCTCCATGGCTCCTACCCAATTGGGTTGACACCGTCCGACAAACGATCGGTGCGAAAGAGAGCAGAGAGCTTTAGAATCCAGGATGGCGAATTGTATTACATCGTCCGCCCCAAACGCGTCGAGGGGGAGCCGGTCGATTCTAATCCAGGTGACAATAAAGCAAATCTTCGACAAGCAATTCTTACACAAAAGGCTCAGTTTGCGCTGACTTCTGCTGTCCATGTGCAGAATGGAGGTAGGTCCATTTTGTGAGGGTCATCTTTCTGTGGCGTCACTTATTTGTGTGAGGCCCTGTTGAGGGAATATGAGGGCGAAATAGATGAGCTATAATCAGTTTATACAATAACCTGTTGTCTTTAATTCCCTGTCACTACAAGTTACGAAGAAATAACGTTAACATTTGGCAGTTTATTTTGGATATTTAATAAATAAGCAGCAGCCACTGGAGGTTGTAATTGAGATATGATTACAAATTACAGTAACAGAGAAATTCCTTAGCAACAGTATCTCAAAATCAAAAATAATCCTAATTCAAAAACTAACCATATGATGATGATTAATCACAATGGTTAGTCTAGCTCACTAACTCAACCCTGTCTAAACAAAAATGACTAAAACATAAGACATCACAAACACTGGATTGTATAAGTCCAAAACCAATATTGCCTGTGATCATTTTGCCTCTTACTCTTATGAGAAGATTTTCTAACTGAAATGATTTATGGAAAGAGAGTTAAGAGTGGGAGTGAGACAGCGAGAGGAGATTACGAACAACATTTTATTCTATGGACAGTGTCAACACATGAATTGATTCATGCATGCTGTTGAAAATGACATGCAAGATATGGAGAAACATGCCAATTAATAAGGAGCTTTATGATTATATATATATTATATATGTGTTTGTGTGTGTGTATGTATAAGCAAAACACCCAAGAAGCATAAAAGAACTATTTGGCTTTATATGTGTAAGTGTGTGTGCATACACGTTTGTACATTTATATATATATATGTGTGTGTGTGTGTGCATACATATATATATATATATATATATATATATATATATATATATATATATATATATATATATATATATATATATATATATATGCACAAACGTGTGTGCACACACACATACATATATAAAGCTAAATAGTTCTTTTATGCTTCTTGGGTGTTTTGCTTGGGATACTTTAATCAAAGAACTCTATCATGTTTGATCGTTGTTGAAATTGTACTTTAAAGTTATAAAGGATTAATTTATTTGCTTCATTTATGTAATTGTTACTGTAGTATGCACCTGACGAGATACAACGAAATATGCCAGGCAAAAAATTGTTTGTGTCTTCTTTGTTCAAATTTCATTTTGTTTTAACTTAAGTGCTAATTCACATTTTTCATTAAAATGTTAACATTTTCTTCATGCTATCTTCCTCTAGGAAACCACATGGGGACAGAACGAACTCTCAGTTCACTATCTTCCAAATACTACTGGGTTGGAATGGCAAATACAGTGAGGAAGGTTGTAAAAAATTGTGTTGTCTGCCTGGCAAATCGCCCAGCAGTGGCAACACTTCCTTCGGCCTCTCATCCACTAAATCTGGTCCCACAAGGAGCTGAGATAGCAACCACTTTACCAGATCCACAGGAATTTATTTCAGAGAAAAACGATGCATACGCAGAATCACAGCTGGCGCCAAAATCAGATGTTGTGCCCGCAGAAATGCAGTATGTCATAACGGCAGAAATAGAAGAGCCTGAAGAGGTGGATGCTGATCTTGATTTTGTGAAAGTGATTCAGACTGAGAACGGTGGTTTTTTAGACCCAGTCTTTCATGACAAGTCGGACTTTGATGCAGCCAGAAAGTTCTGGCAAAAGGTGGGTCAGACATCACATAAATTTGTTTTAGCAGATTTTACAAAACAACCTCCCAATGTTCGCTTGAATTTATTTAATGAATTGTACAAAAGCTGCACTAGCCATGTGACTCTAAATCCTCACGCTAATGACTCCTTGCCCACACCGCCCAAACAGGTGGTAAAACAGACATTACCAACAATTTTGACAGAAGCTGAAAAAATTTGAGAATATGAACAAATATGTCACTGGGTTGCCCTGTTACCACGTACAAGTAAAAGTAAAGGTCCCTTTTCCATGCATTAAGGCGTTTTGGGCATATAGGGCTAAACCTATACTTTTATAGACCAATCTGCACAAGATTGGTGATGAGGTCAGCATCACGCCGGCCGCCTTTACTTCCCAGGACTGCATCCGGTACCCATCTAAGGCTGGGTTGACCTGGGAGTCAAGGTCTTTTTTGAAACAAGTGAGGCTCCGCCAGAGAGCAAACCCACGGCCTTCCGATCCGCACGTGAGTGTCTAGCTGCTACGCCACAGTGACTCCCTGTCAGCCACATAGAGTATGTTTATTAATTATGTGTCATCTAAATAATGGAGGTTGGCAGCAGTGCATCCACTGCTCTCTGGTAATCTTCTTCTTTGCGTTCACCAGCTGTACAATCTGGCGGAAAGTTCTGGTTGCTCGTCCATTACTGAACTGCAGTCCCTGCTCCAGAACCTGAGTGTTGCATGTGCATCAGTTTTACAGATCTCATTCTCTTGAATACAGAGTGTTGGTTCCTTGCCTCTCCGGCAGATGCACTCCGACTTCAAAGGAAGCTCCCCAATTAGTCGACTCTTACGACATGCTTTTTGGGGAGGCAGTGGGTCTATTCTTGTTTTCCCCACAATGGGGCCCCAGAACCCACACGGGGATCTCTGGTAATATTATATGTTCCCAGTCTTTTTCGTTATGCAACTCTCGTACCACTGTCTGACAGCTACGAAAATAGTCTTTAGAGTGTATTAGGGACAACAGTTGTATATTATACAATGTAAGGCTCAGCTCTCTAGCGTAGTTGGCTAAACCGGACTGCGTGGTGACCGGGTGATGAACTCCTTGTGGTCCGGGTTCACTCCCGGGGGTAGGCAGAAAAGCCACATTTCCTCCCATATTTACGGTACCTATCATGGAATCAAGGCCGAAGGGTTGCGATATCCATAGTAGCGAGCCTAAGGGTTAACAACTCATGGCTTCTGGATATAAAAAAAAAAAAATACAATGTAAGAAATCTAGTGCAGCATTAACTGCTTGATAGGCTGTGATGATTTTGAGTTACCTGTTATCCTAGGGTTAGGCTTAGGATTTGGGATAGGTTTGGGGTAGGGTTAGGGTAACACATCACGGACACGACGCACGCTTATCACTCATTACGACATACAGATCCGCAGGTTTCACATCTACGGTCACTAAGTCTTGTGTCGGAAGAACGCGGTCGCTAAATTGAGTCGAAGCGCGTGGTCTACGAGAGTCTTGAGTCACAAGAACGCGGTCACTGCTGTCAGTCGCAGCACGTGGTCTAGCTCTAGCAGCCATGTCGACCTCACTTTGTGATTTGATTCGTGATTTGTCTGCTCCGTAATTGCACTGCAGACAGGGGAGTGAACTCCGACTAAGCGGCCGTCAACGTCCAACTAGCGACCATTATTTAAAGGAGAGCCGATTGCTATTTCATAAACATAGTTTCTTGGTGTCTGCCTCGAGTGCTTGAGGTGCCGGGTTTAATCTTTGGTAAGGGCTGGGATTTTTTCACGTGGCCTTCAACTTCTAGTAATTCCCCCGGTCTCTTAGTAGTGAATATATATATATATGGTACCAGTAATTGTCTGACTGTACATCCGTCTCGTCTTTTTCCTGAGCATTGGCCAGATCCCCTGGTAACTCCTCACACGCCATAATGATCTGTTTGTATCTCTGCACTGTTCACTCGCTCCCAAGGGGCCCTCACAACATCCAGCTTATCCTACATCACTTCACCACCTAGTGGTGCATAACCAGCCAGTCTGACTGCCTGCTCATTTCCCAACACACGGGCATGACCTGGAGAAAAGATCTGAAGGATGCTAACTACCCAGGATTTCTGCAGCGATGCTTGCCACTTTGCACGGAGCATGCCCGTCTCCACCTTTCCCAACATACTCTGTGAGTCAATTACAATTACGATGTGTGTACAGCTGATTCTCAATCGGGGGGAAGGCAACAGTGATCGCCTCCACCTCTATTCTTAAATTGCATGTTGTGATATTATGTTAACGAGGGTTTACTGGATATATTTGTGCATGTCTACGTTCATGTGTTAGCATTTTTATGCATCTATGTTTGTGTATCTAGTGATTGTGTGCATGTATGTTTGTGTATCTAGTGATTGTGTGCATGTATGTTTGTATATCTAGTGATTGTGTGCATGTATGTTTGTGTATCTAGTGATTGTGTGCATGTGTGTTTGTGTATCTAGTGATTGTGTGCATGTGTGTTTGTGTATCTAGTGATTGTGTGCATGTATGTTTGTGTATCTAGTGATTGTGTGCATGTGTGTTTGTGTATCTAGTGATTGTGTGCATGTGTGTTTGTGTATCTAGTGATTGTGTGCATGTGTGTTTGTGTATCTAGTGATTGTGTGCATGTGTGTTTGTGTATCTAGTGATTGTGTGCATGTGTGTTTGTGTATCTAGTGATTGTGTGCATGTGTGTTTGTGTATCTAGTGATTGTGTGCATGTGTGTTTGTGTATCTAGTGATTGTGTGCATGTATGTTTGTGTATCTAGTGATTGTGTGCATGTGTGATGTTTTTGTATCTACATTTATATGGAAACTATATGTGTGTGTATACGTATATATCCCATGAAGGTTGAGGTTCTGGTGCTAGGCTCGTTTCCCTGGAAGAAGAAAAAGACAGCCTACGTGATTATTGCCATGGATTCTTTCACAAAATGGCCGGAGGTGCATACAGTCCACAGAGTTAATGAAAAGACAATGTCGCAGTTCTGTCTCAAACTGATTGCCAGGTAAATTTTATTCTTTTTCTTTTGTCCTAATGCTCATGCCATTCTCACAGAGAGGAGTTAAATGTAGTTTCCTGTCTTGTGCTAATTATAAAGCTTGTGTTAATGTTAGATTGTATTTTTATTGTGTCTCTTACTCCCTCCACCCATTTCTTTCTTGGTCGCCCTCCTAACATGTGCCTGCTGTGTTGTTGGTCGGCCTCCTAACATGTGCCTGCTGTGTTGTTGGTCGGCCTCCTAACATGTGCCTGCTGTGTTGTTGGTCGGCCTCCTAACATGTGCCTGCTGTGTTGTTGGTCGACCTCCTAACATGTGCCTGCTGTGTTGTTGGTCGACCTCCTAACATGTGCCTGCTGTGTTGTTGGTCGACCTCCTAACATGTGCCTGCTGTGTTGTTGGTCGCCCTCCTAACATGTGCCTGCTGTGTTGTTGGTCGCCCTCCTAACATGTGCCTGCTGTGTTGTTTGTCCATCACGAGGGATAAAGACCACTTTCATCCAAAGTGATAGCTGGATGAAAGTGACCTGTGCAAGGACTTGGATTTAAGTGAGGAAGAGTTGCACAGTTCGTCGACCTCACTCTCTCCCCTGTGTCCATCTTGATCCAATGGCAAGACAATGTCCAGACAGTTGGAAATGGACCTGAGTGCAGTGGATGACCCAGGCGTCTCAAGTGCCCTGCCTTGCTTGAAGCTCTTCACAGAGCCTGCTGGTAAACACCTTCTTATCCTTTGAACCAATAAGAGGTATTATCTGCACAGTCCACCGAGTCCAGTCTTTGCATGCAGGTTAGGCGTATCCCAATCACCGAGGAGTTTAGAACCACGTCGGCTACCCTCTCCTGGTTTAGCCACACAGTCAGTGCTGTTGACCGGCGGGTGGCCACTGTCGCATGCTGACAGCTGCTGGGAGCCACAGGAGAGAGCTGAGTGCCAGACCAGCCCAGTGGTGCTGAACTGCCCTAAGAGGGACAATTCTCATGAAGCACGCATGTGTCATGTATTTTTTTCTGCCACCTTTGATTCCCTGCTGGTGCACAAACTGTTTGCCGTTTATTTAGAATAATAGTTATTAGTCTTTCTCTGTGTTTCTGATTCAGACAGTACTACTGATTTTACATTTGTTACCAGATTTCATCTGTGTTAAACTCTACAAATTTCCTGTTGGTATGAAAGCATCTCTTGCCTTGTCAGTTTAGAAAAAAAAAATCTGTGTCTGTTCGCCTGTCTTAATATGTGTGATATTTTCTCGAGGTCATACCAGTGTGTTGGAAAATGAGTAGGCAGATAGGTAGACTGGCTGGCTCTGCACCACTTGATGGTGAATTGATGTATGACAAGTTAGATATTGTGAGGGCCCTTTGGGGCGAGTAAACAGTGCGGAGGCACAAATAGATCATTACGGTCTAAGGCGAATGGCGCTGCGAGGAGTTACCAGGGGACCTGGTCAGCGCTCAACACTCAGGGAAAGGATGAGACGGATATACAAACAGACGGTTACTGGTACCATCGGAATTGGAACTTTCCACTTGCTGGTGAAGATGGGGACTGAGCACTTATGGGAGTGTCCCAAGTGCTGTAATGTTGATTCTTAATTCAACATTCAACAGGGGATGTGTGCTAAGTACATTTATGAATTTGTCTCCATTTTAACAAATATTTGTACCTTATCAACCCAGCCTTAATGAGTGCAAGGAAATGTCCTGGGAAATAGAGATGGTCAGTGGGATGTTGATTGCATCACTTATTGAGAAAATATTTATTTATCTGGTAATCTGGTCATCCTAGTTTCAGCTTCATAGCAAACGGGTCACCCCATAGTTGCTCCGCTCCTGTGCCAACGAAAAACACGTAGCTCACAGTGTCACGCCATGCACTCAACTCAGAAGCTGGGCGACGAAACTATAAATGTCGTTCGCACTGCCTCAAGTGTGGGTCTGGCACCATATGTCCCGTGCACTGATGGCATGAAAAGAGTCTTTTACTTTACTTCTTTGAAAGTTCAGAAGTGCAAAATGAATACAGAGAAATGAGATAAGACACTGCTTGTTAGAAGGAACATTCATTAGAAACCCAGTGTCTTTATTACAGAAGCATCATTAGAAACCCAGTGTCTTTATTACAGAAGCATCATTAGAAACCCAGTGTCTTTATTACAGAAGCATCATTAGAAACCCAGTGTCTTTATTACAGAAGCATCATTAGAAACCCAGTGTCTTTATTACAGAAGCATCATTAGAAACCCAGTGTCTTTATTACAGAAGCATCATTAGAAACCCAGTGTCTTTATTACAGAAGTATCATTAGAAACCCAGTGTCTTTATTACAGAAGTATCATTAGAAACCCAGTGTCTTTATTACAGAAGTATCATTAGAAACCCAGTGTCTTTATTACAGAAGTATCATTAGAAACCCAGTGTCTTTATTACAGAAGCATCATTAGAAACCCAGTGTCTTTATTACAGAAGCATCATTAGAAACCCAGTGTCTTTATTACAGAAGCATCATCAGAAACCCAGTGTCTTTATTACAGAAGCATCATTAGAAACCCAGTGTCTTTATTACAGAAGCATCATTATAAACCCAGTGTCTTTATTACAGAAGCATCATTATAAACCCAGTGTCTTTATTACAGAAGCATCATTAGAAACCCAGTGTCTTTATTACAGAAGCATCATTAGAAACCCAGTATCTTTATTACCTAATCATAAATAAAACACCAACATGTCTGGCAGAATTATTCAATGCATTCATTTTGAAGGTACTGTGCACCTTGGGTTGGTCAGAAAAAGTCGCTCTAGGCATTCAGGCAGGCATTCCATTGCTTAGGTAGGTAGGGAATGCTGTCTACAAAAAAATGGTTGTGGTTGCTCACTGAATCAAGTATTTACCATCTTTCTCCTTTTGGTGGTTTGTCAGCATCCCCTGGGACCCACTTTCTGATGTTGCAATTTCTTATGAACCACGTTTTCATCTGTCTCAGTTCATATGTTAAATTCTTTCGGCAGCAAACGTATGCTTCGACAATGATTCACCTTTACTGCTGCATCAATTTTGGTGATGGTTTTTGCAAAAGTGACTTTAAAAGTTCAGAGGAGTAGAATGAGTACAGAGAAATCAGATAAGATACTGCTTGTAAGGAGCATTCATATGAAACCCTGTTTTTTATTACAGAAGCATATAAGAATTACCAACGACCTGGCAGAGTTAAACAAAGCGTTTTTTAAAAGGAATTATGCACTTTGGGTTGGTCAGAAAAGGTTACCGTAGGCATTCAGGCAATTACCTGTGATGGTGCACGAATGGGTATCAGATGAATAATCTTAATACTTATCAGATGGAGATGATTGATTCTATATCCTGTTGCAGGTATGGTGTTATGGAACAGCTCATCTTGCTTGAAAATGAAGTTTCTGCCGAGGAAACTTCAAACCCTAGTGGGGTCAGTCAGAATCTGCAGGCCTACTCAGTTGTTGTATCCAAAGAAAGTTATAATATTGTTGGTAAGGCTCACACATAACATGTCGTTATCATATCATAATCATCCTTGTGTGGCCCCACTGGGGGAGGGGGTGTGAATAGACCTACTGCCCCCTGTTATGAGATCCCAGTCTGAGTGGGAAAAAAACAAGCTAGATTTTGTGAGGGCCCTTTGGGAGCAAGTGAACGGTGTGGAGGCACAAATAGATCATTATGGTCTGAGGAGAATGGCGCTGCGAGGAGTCAACAGGCGATCTGGCCAACGCTCAACATTCCCGGGAAAGACAAGATGGATGTACATTTAAACAATTACTGGTACATCGGAATTGGAAATCTTCACGTGTTACTGAAAATAGGGACGGATTGCTGATTAGAGTGTTCCGAGTGCTGTGATGTCGATTCTTAATTCAACATTGAACTGTCTAGAGGGAAAGTAATTAGACACTTTCCCCTAAAAAGAATGTAATAACTGTCTTAACTGCTCTAATTTACCACTTTTTACAACAAATATTCTTTGAGCAAGTGGATTTAGTGTCACGTGAATTATGCAGTCACCTGTGCAGGTTAGAGTTTTATTTTTTTTTTCCCGACAGAAAAAATGCATCACCTTACCGAGGATTGAAGCTTGTGATAAAAGGTGATTATTAGAGAGTTGCTGAAATCGAATGTGTTGGATCAGAAGGTGCAGATATCACAGTCTAGCTGAAAAGCAAACGCAGAAGAAGTTGAGAGCTATCATGGTCAACATCACTGCTCGTTGGGCATTACCACATGTAAACTAATAGTCAAGGTTCCAATTCACTGCAGACAGTTCACCCCGTAACTGCTCCATTTCTCTGCCAGTGGAAATCACACAAAATCTCCTCCAGTGTAAAATTAAGAAAAACCTTTTCACTGAAAAACTAATCTTCTTCTTCTTCTGCCTTTCTATCCCCCAATGGCTTGTAGGCCCTTAACCAACTCATGCCAAGTTATTCTATCCTTCCTTCTATCCCCTCTCCCCATGTCCTTCCCCCGACTTTCTAACTTCATTCTCCAGCTCTCTTCTCCATGAGTTTTTTGGTCTTCCTTTATTCCTATGCCCTTGTGGGTTCCAATGCAAAGACATTCTAGTTATGCTGCTCTCCAGTTTTCTCAGTTTGTGTCCTATCCAACGCCAGCGTCTTTTCCTCACCTTTTGGTCCATTGGAACTTTCTTAGTTTTCTCCGAAAGCTCTACATGTTTCCGCCCTTTACAAAACTACTGATTTGACATTAGAATTAAACGTTTTAAGTTTAGTATTTATTTTAATTTTGATTGACCACAAATTCCCTAGTGCTATGAAAGCTCCTCTTGCCTTTTGTATTCTTATTTTAATATCTCTATCAGTTCCTCCATCTTTATCTACATGACTGCCCAAATAGGTGTATGACTCAATGTCTTGGAGTGGGGTACCATTAAGAGAAACCACACTACTGTTTGCCTGATTTATTTTCATTATCTTTGTCTTTCCTTTATGGATTTTATACCTAGCTGCTGTGATCTCGCATCAGGTATATTTAATTTCTTATGAACCACGTTTTGATCTGTCTCAGTTCACTTTGTCAAATTTTTTCGCCAGCAAACTTTGCTTTGACAATGTTTCACTGCTATGTCAATTTTGGTGATGGTTTTTTGTACCAGTGACTTTAAAACTTCAGAGGAGCAGAATGACTGACCTATCATCATCATCATCAGGTGCCTAGCTGACTGGCCCCTCCACAATCTGTGATCTTCAACTGCATGTATCAGTTTTCTGTTGATACCCTTCAATGCCACGACAAAAGGCTGCCAAGAATCTTCTCATGCTGTCTTCCTGTGTCTCTATTTCCACAGATTTTTCCAGTGGTCACAACATGTTCCAGTTTCTCTCTTATTGTAACATGATGAAAAAATGATGATTGTCTCTTGCTGATGTTTGTGATAAGTTATCATTGAGCCCTAGCCTCTTTCAAAACATCTGGGTTGCTCTTTTTTTGGCTGTCCAAGAAATTCAAAGGATTCTTCTGTAAAACCACATTCCTGGGCCACAAGAAATAGGTTGGCTTGATTCAGAGTCCATGATTCAGAGTCCATTATTCAGAGTCCATGATTCAGAGCCATATGTTAAAACTGGCTGTATCTAGCATGTAAGATTTCCTGTTCCTAACCACCTTTGGCATAGATTTATTGCACAAAATGTTCTGCATTTTATAAAAAGCAGTTTATATTTATATATATAGTAGGCAAATAACAAACACATATTGTATGTATGTTGTATTTTAACTGGATGCAGATGAGAGCTGGAATCTTCTTGTGAGCAGTATTATGAGATTCATCAAGTTCTACAAGGATAATTGGCTGGATTGCCTGGAACTTTGTCTTATACCTTTGAGAAATTCACTGACCCAGGCCACAGACTTCACGCCATCTTACTTGCTCATGGGAAGGTTTGTACTCCAGTTGTGGCAGTTAAATAAATCAACATTTGTAATCTTCATTTTCTTCTTCTTCTTCTTCGCGTTCACTGGTAAGCTCTGGTGAAAAGTTCTGGTTATTCATCCACCTCAGGGCTTTAGTCCTGTTTTGGAACTTGAGCACAACCTTTAATCAGATCTGGCTTAACTTTATGCAGACTGCAGCAGGTAGATGCACTCCATCTTCAAAGGAAACATCTCTAATTATTCCTCTTGTGCGACAAACTTGTTAGGGAGGTAGTGACTCTATTATCCCCCCCCCCCCCCCCAATAAGGCTCCAGGACCTACACTGAAAGTAAGATTATTACTCTGAAGGTGTATACAGACCAGATTAACAATGGAATGAATTTATTATAATAAAGTAAAACAAAACCCCCAAATCTACCCTTTACATGTCATTTGTGTATCAGTTATATAGTTCAAGACCTATGTTTTTATAGACCAATGGCATTCAACTGCTGGCTACCTGTATTTACAATTACATTTCTTGGTATCTATTTAAGGCTGGGTCACTTGGGAGCCTAGGCCAGTTATAAGGAATCTTATTTAAGGCTGGGTCACTTGGGAGACTAGGCCAGTTATAAGGAATCTTATTTAAGGCTGGGTCACTTGGGAGACTAGGCCAGTTATAAGGAATCTTATTTAAGGCTGGGTCACTTGGGAGCCTAGGCCAGTTATAAGGAATCTTATTTAAGGCTGGGTCACTTGGGAGCCTAGGCCAGTTATAAGGAATCTTATTTAAGGCTGGGTCACTTGGGAGCCTAGGCCAGTTATAAGGAATCTTATTTAAGGCTGGGTCACTTGAAAGCCTAGACCAGTTATAAGGAATCTTATTTAAGGCTGGGTCACTTGGGAGCCTAGGCCAGTTATAAGGAATCTTATTTAAGGCAGGGTCACTTGGGAGCCTAGACCAGTTATAAGGAATCTTATTTAAGGCTGGGTCACTTGGGAGCCTAGACCAGTTATAAGGAATCTTATTTAAGGCTGGGTCACTTGGGAGCCTAAACCAGTTATAAGGAATCTTATTTAAGGCTGGGTCACTTGGGAGCCTAGACCAGTTATAAGGAATCTTATTTAAGGCTGGGTCACTTGGGAGCCTAGACCAGTTATAAGGAATCTTATTTAAGGCTGGGTCACTTGGGAGCCTAGACCAGTTATAAGGAATCTTATTTAAGGCTGGGTCACTTGGGAGCCTAGACCAGTTATAAGGAATCTTATTTAAGGCTGGGTCACTTATGAGCCTAGACCAGTTATAATGAATCTTATTTAAGGCTGGGTCACTTGGGAGCCTAGACCAGTTATAAGGAATCTTATTTAAGGCTGGGTCACTTGGGAGCCTAGACCAGTTATAAGGAATCTTATTTAAGGCAGGGTCACTTGGGAGCCTAGGCCAGTTATAAGGAATCTTATTTAAGGCTGGGTCACTTGGGAGCCTAGACCAGTTATAAGGAATCTTATTTAAGGCTGGGTCACTTGGGAGCCTAGACCAGTTATAAGGAATCTTATTTAAGGCTGGGTCACTTGGGAGCCTAAACCAGTTATAAGGAATCTTATTTAAGGCTGGGTCACTTGGGAGCCTAGACCAGTTATAAGGAATCTTATTTAAGGCTGGGTCACTTGGGAGCCTAGACCAGTTATAAGGAATCTTATTTAAGGCTGGGTCACTTGGGAGCCTAGGCCAGTTATAAGGAATCTTATTTAAGGCTGGGTCACTTGGGAGCCTAGGCCAGTTATAAGGAATCTTATTTAAGGCTGGGTCACTTGGGAGCCTAAACCAGTTATAAGGAATCTTATTTAAGGCTGGGTCACTTGGGAGCCTAGACCAGTTATAAGGAATCTTATTTAAGGCTGGGTCACTTGGGAGCCTAGACCAGTTATAAGGAATCTTATTTAAGGCTGGGTCACTTGGGAGCCTAGACCAGTTATAAGGAATCTTATTTAAGGCTGGGTCACTTGGGAGCCTAGGCCAGTTATAAGGAATCTTATTTAAGGCTGGGTCACTTGGGAGCCTAGACCAGTTATAAGGAATCTTATTTAAGGCTGGGTCACTTGGGAGCCTAGACCAGTTATAAGGAATCTTATTTAAGACAGATTCATGCCTGATAGCTTCAGTCCAACGGACAGGCTGGCAGATGTCTAGCCACAACCAGAAAAACCAGATGGTGATGGATGCAAGTCCTTTTCAGGGCTTACACAACCTCACACACATGCATCAGACTAAACTCTATTTCCCTGTAAATGTCTTAAATCGTGACATTTCTCCAAACTTCATTTTTAAAAAGCACATACTTACAACTCTCTGAAAGTCCAGGTGTTGAACCTCTATCTCGCTGAACAGACAGGAGAATCAAAGGCCACTGCTTCATTGTGGCACGAATTTTCTTTCACATAAAACACTGGATTGATGTGTGACTGGTCTTTCCTCATGCTGCCTCTGTTCTTTTACATTTTACAGTTGATCAGATTTTACTTGAAAAACCTGGCTACCTCACTGACCACATCCACTTTATATTTAGCTTCTTTGAAAATAATGTACTGATGCCTTTTAATTATGGTTATTTCCGCTCTTGGCCCTGCCTTTGGTTGAATTAGTAAGAATCAGTCCGGCGTCATCTTCACAATGAAGGTTGGCTGCAGTCGATCTCTAACAGGCTCTGTCTCTCATTTTGGTTGTACACTGTCTGAGACTGAGTTCGACCACTTCTTGGTTTTATTGTTCCACTTATATTACTGTCCAACTTTTGTTCACCTAAGCAGATTCACATCAGACCAACTAATCAACTTCACAAGGTTGGTTTTCTTTGTTAATAACATTAATGTAACTGTTGTGAAGTAAATATGATTCCTAATGTCATTTTACAAATTGGTTACAATTTTATTTTTTTCTCTTGGGAAGTAACTTGATCTGGACACATACTACCAAACAGTATACCTATGTAAGACAGGAGAAGCTTACCCAGCCAAAAAGGACCCCAAGTTCAATAACAGGACCCATAAAGTGTATGAAAGTTTAGACTAGAAAGTAGTCAGCTGTTTCTAATTATAATTTCAGAGAACCCAACTTCCCAGAATGCATCATTCAGGGAAGATGTTCAGCAGAGGCAGAAGTGACCTTGAGCCAGGACCAGATTGAACAGTCTGTTGATGCCGCTATGTCCCACTATTTGCAGTGTTCTGTCCCAGACATCAAGCAGATTATTTTACCCGAGGATGCTATGGACAGTGTGTATGAGATTGCCGCAGCAACATCCCCGGTGAGAAAGTCTGGAAGGAAGACAAAGAAGTATCATAGACTGGCTGGGTTTGATAGTTTTGATGGTAAAGGACATTCTGATGAGGCAAATCTGGATAAAACTTCAGAAAACACATCTGATGGTAAAGTAATCTTCTTGTTCTTCTTGTTCTTGTTCTTCTTCATCTTCTTTTTCTCCTCCTCCTCCTCTTCCTCACCCTTCTCCTCTTCCTCCTCCTCCTCTTCCTCCTCCTCCTTTTTCTTCTTCTTCTCCTCCTCCTCCTTCTGCTTCTTCATTGGCTCCTTCTTCTGCTGCTGCTGCTCTTCCTTTTCCTTCTTCTTCTTTATCTCCTTCTTCTTCTTCTTCTTCTTCTTCTTCTTCTTCTTCTTCTTCTTCTTCTTCTTCTATGTTCACCATTAAAATGGTGGTTGGCACATTATGTTGTGGTTTAGAGTTAGGGTGCAAAATCTTTCAACCCAACCTTCCAGTTTCAACACAACCCCAATTGATCATCATTTATGTAATGGTTGTGAAGTTTTTAAGAGGTATTAACCTTCTTAAACAAAGGATGTTTTACCATATCGGCTTATCGGGTCGTTGATCAACAGTCTTGAGCCAAGCTGGGGGGAAATACGTCCGCCATCTTAGCCCAAACTGGAAACATCACAAACACAAGTGCTGGAACAAAATGTGAATCAGGAATTAGGTGGACAGCCAGGATCAGGACTTTCCACCAGAGTTTACAGCTGGTAAACATTTACAGCTGGTAAACATTTACAACTGGTAAACATTTACAGCTGGTAAACATTTACAGCTGGTAAACATTTACAGCTGGTAAACATTTACAGCTGGTAAACATTTACAGCTGGTAAACATTTACAGCTGGTAAACATTTACAGCTGGTAAACATTTACAGCTTTTAAACACAAACAACAAACTACATATTCTGAGATAATTGGGCAGAGGGAAAAATTCAGATATTTGAAAAAGTGTGTTGAAGATTATCCCAGTTTAAAAAAAAATGATTATAGAAACAGCTTTTAGTTCTTAACTTCTTCTAATTTTCATCGAATACACGTACATTTCAGATTACTTTACCACAAAACGAAGAAAACATGGAGGGTCAAGTTTACAAAGCAGGAAGTCATTAGATGCTGTAGCTATCACAAAACAAGAAGTTAAGGATGAATTTGCAGATAGTTGTGATCTTCTCAACAAAGGACTAGAACAAGACTGTGATGTTTTGGAAAGGGTAAATATTTGCTCAGGTTATCATTTAAATAAAGAAGGTATTACAAACACTCACGCATACAGACAGACACACACAGAGACAAATACTTATATACATACTTGAGGAGTCTCTCTGGTGTGGTGAAGTGGTCAAGCCGTTTGTCTTGCACTCTGAAGGTCGTGGGTTCGTTTCATGGCAGCGTTATTCAGTTCTTGAGCGCACTTTTTACGGAGAGCCCTGGGGATTATCATCAGAGCTACAGAGTTTGTGCTTTGTGTGACCCTCAGCATACTAACACATGCATACAGACACACCAACATGAAGATATATATATACTCATACATACATAAAGATATATCAGGAAGGCAAAAAAAAAAAAGGTTTTCAACGTAAAAAAACCTTTAAAAGTAAAACTATTTGACACTAAAGATTTGTGTATAATTTATTTATAAAAATTTTTTTTTATTTTAGTCAAAATGTATGAAGGGTAGCAATTAGTAAAATGTGTGCAGAATTTATAATTAAATAAATACATAATTTTCTTAAGTCTAAGAAAAAATGTATACAGTGACCCCCATCCCTGAGCACGCCGCATCCCTGAGCGACCCGCATCCTGAGCACCCCGCATCCTTGAGCGACCCCATCCCTTAGCGACCCCCATCCCTGAGCAACCCCATCCCTGAGCGACCCCCATCCCTGAGTGACCCCCATCCCTGAATGACCCCCATCCATGAGCGACCCCCATCCCTGAGCAACCAGGAAAGGCTGTATGACAAATCATTATATCATAGTGACTTAAACAGCAATTTGGGGGGGGGGGGGGGGGGGGGGGAGTCCACAGAGCAACAGCTTTTTATAGTAAGTCTGATCATGGCCACCCCCTTACCCTAACACTGCACAAGTGTAAAGTAAACAGAACCAATGTCTTTAACAAACAAGACTTGTTAGGGAACTGGCCAAATGTAGGGATTCCAGTTTTCTGATTCACTTGGGATTGTTAACAGTTGAAGATACTGGATTACATTATCTTGGGGCAAAACTTTTAATGCTGTTAATTTGTCAGTTGTGAAGTAAATTTGATTTCTACAAACATTTTACTGATAATAGGTTACAATGTTTTTTATTTTGCTTTGATGTAGCTTGATCTGGACACATTCTACCAGACAATATACCTGTATAAAACACAAAGTGCTTTCCCAGCCAATTGTGACCCTGAGTTCAAGGACAGAGTCCATAAAGCCAGTGAGGATTTTACACTGGAAAATGGTCAACTGATGTACAGGCTGAAGGGAATGCTTAAGAGAGTTCCAGTGACCTTGCAGGAAAGATTAACCCTGATGAATGATGCTCACATTACTAAAGGCAAGTTGTTTGTATTGCATTTCTGACTGGTTGAAGTAACATTGTATGTGCTGTGGCTACTGTACATTACAAAAATCCCTTTGTAAACTCCAGGCTCCCATTTTAGGGGGGGGGGGAAGAATAGACACACTGACCAGCATAACAAGCATGTTGGGACGGCAGCTAATTAAGAGGTTTGCTGAAATAAGATGTGTTAGGTTAAACGAACCAGGTATTGCATCAAAATATGCGCTGATAAGAAACACCCACTGCATCAAGCGCTTTTTAGTGAAAAGGGCGACAGACTGAAGAGGGGGAAATCGTGGCTAGGTCGGGCAGAAGATGTCATTAGGCAAATATGCAGCCTAACCGACATCATACCTGGTGCAGAATGGATACCTGTGCCTCAGGCGTTTATTTGTACATTTTCCTGTATTGTCACACTCAACAGGCGACGTAGAGAAGAGAATCCTGTTGCTGTTAATGCAGAGGTCAACGCTCTCATCGGTGAAAATTCAGACGAAGCAGATGCAATAATCTATACAGACGGATCCGTTATACGCCAAAGAAGAAGCGCATGGGCATTTACAGCACGCTCAGCGGGCAGAACAGTCAAAGAAGCCAACGGCGCCTTCTCCATGACAACCAGCAGCATGACGATGGAGGTGATGGCAGTGACACAAGCCCTTGCCTGGCTTGAAACACAAAAATACACCCGCGTGTGTATACTCAGTGATTCAATGAGTATGATCCGGAGGGTTCAGGCAGGTTCAGTGCGAAGACAATGGCTTGAATCATTACAGAAGTCCACTGTTCGTGGAGTCACCTTTATTTTTGTTCCGGGACACGCAGGCGTCGATGGAAATGAAAGAGCTGACAGGTTGGCTGGATCCGCTATCACTACCGACGGTCAGCCTATGGATCATGCTGATATTATCAATGCCCTCAGAGAAATGGGAAGAATAGAGGACTTTGGTGGCAGTGAATCCACATCACTCGCCAGAATGGCAAACTTGGGAATTAAGATCGGCACAGCAAAAAACGAGACGCACACCAGCTACGCCAGAAGACTTGTTAATCAACATAGAACTGGTACTATTAGCCATCGGACGTTGGGGTTCATACTGAGGGGAGGATCTGAGCACCTATGGACATGTCCGGAGTGCAATGAGGATAACCCAACTAACTAACTAACTAACTAACTGTAAGCCAGAACTCAACAGGCCAACAGCAGTTTTAAGGGCGAATGCAGAAGGAGAAGAAGTATATTCCAGTATGGTGCTGTTTGATAAATAAAAACAAGCATTTTGAATAAATGTCATTTAAATGTTGAATGTTAAATTCAGAATTGACATCACAGCACTCAGGACACTCCCGTAAGTGCTCCGTTCCCATCTTCAGCAGCAGGCGAAGAGTTCCAGTTCCACTAGCACCAGTAGCCGTCTGATTGTACATACGTCTCATTCTTCCCCTGAGTGTATACCGTCGGCCGCATCCCTTGGTTACTCCTCACCGTGCCATTCTTCTCAGACTGTGATGATCTATCTGTGCCTCGTCACTGTTCACTCACTCCCAAAAGGCCCTCACAACATCCAGCTTGTCATACATCAGTTCACCACCAAGTGGCGCAGAGCCGGCCAGTATGTCTGCCTGCTAATTTTCCAACACACCGGCATGGCCTGGAAAATATATCCAAAGTTTGCCAACTAGACAGGACCTCTGAAGTGATGCTTGCCACTCTACACGGAGCCTGCCTGTCTTCACCTTTCTCAACATGCTCTTTGAGTCAGCTACAATTCTGGCATGTGTGTACAGCTGATTCTCACTGTCATTCACTGTGGTGTAGCTTTACTTAGCTTTCATATACCCATATGTGTATAGAATTTCTGTGATACTGTCTTATGTCACTTTTGCCTTTATATCATTGAGTGTGCTCAAGGTGTTGTCTATTAAAATCTGATACCATTTCTTGAATATGAACAGACGGTTGTAAGAAGATGTATTCACTGAATTATTATTACTTAGCTCGTATAAGCCCATGTATGTATGTATTGGACTTCTTTGATTGCATGTCCCCTCTGTCCTACAGATTTATTTGCATATAGTTTCTAATCTTTGAAAAACATTTCAAGCAACTCAGGGAATTTACTGCAGAATTCAGCTGTGATAAAATAGATAAGCGGTGTACCATGTGTATTTAATTTATAAACATTTGCTAAAATTACTTAACAAGTTTAATTAAAAGTTCCTAAACAATTTTCTTCCTCTTCTTCTTCAGCATTCCGAGCCCTTGAGGTTCATTGCTAGAGATATCACCCACCTCTATTCATTTCTCTGGTTGGCCCTCTCTTTCCAATTGGTGACACCAAGGGTTTGCAGGTCTGTCTGGATATTATCTCTCCACCGTCTTCTTGGTCTGCCTCATGGTCTACGACCATTCATCTCCCTCATGTATACAGTTTTTACTTCTCTGTCATCTGACATTCTTTCAGTATGCCCCAACCATTTCAGTCTATTAGCTCTCGTGATGCTAGTGATCAGTGGTGATTTTTAGTTAAATTAATTACTGAGCAACATATGTTTTTCTAAAATTACAGCCGTATTACAGTTACTTAACAATGTTGCTACAGTTACTTGAATTTGGTAACATCCTCCCCCCCCCCCCCCCCCCCCCCCACCCCAAAAAAAAAGAAAGAAAGAAGGAAAGAAGACAGTCATAATGAAAGAAAGAAGCTGACCAATGAACCAGATATAAGTGTATTTGAAACATTTTATTCGTTTATAAAATTATACACTTGTAGCTGCAACATTGCAAACTTAGAGATTATACATGTTATGTGTGTTGGATAAGATTGAGTGATCAAAAAGTTAGTTGTTGGTTAAAGATATTATTGTTCATAGATTTGGATTCTTGTAAGGTGCATTACTGTTATCTGTCAGGGGTTAAATAACAATCTGAATGTGTGCAATCTTTCAGAAACAAATGCCTATGAGAAAATTGATGAACACATGAGATGTATTTGAGAAAGATGAAAAAATATAAGTTTGTGGACAACCGATGTTATCAGCAGTTATAAAACAAAGGCAAAATATAAAAAGTATGGCAGTGATGATGCTAAAGCTTAGTTGAGGGAAGGTTAGTATCCTTTACAGGATGTTGCAGAACCAACCCCAACAGCCCCTGGTCGTTGTGTGGTTTCTTTAGGCAAATTTACGTCCAGTAGTTTACCATTGCTTTCTGGACGGTCCGCCCCCTGATACCACTGTCGAAACCAATGCAAGACGCAAGGCCCGCAGCTGGGATCGATCCCGGCATTACGAAGCGCTTGCATCGACTTAGCCACAGAGCCGACTAGTTGAGGGAAGAGGGGGGCATAATTTAATGTCTGCGCAGGAGTTGGGAAGGAAATCAGCTACATCATTGCTACATAGATAACTTTAGCCACAAATTCCAGCCTGTCATGAACAAGGCTAAATTGCCTTGGCATGAGTTAGCTCTTCTCAGTTCTTCTTCTGCGCTCGAAATCTGTCATTGGGAACATTCAGTCCTCTCTGGGTCACAAACAGGAAGATGCATCTAAGGTAACCACTGGTTTTCCTTCCACAGCTTGTCTTGTAATGTAGCTCTATTGGGCCAGATCCCAACCTCTGCTACGAGTAGTTAACACAATTCTGCAGTACATGCTCGAGGAGACCGTCTGTCTGCTATACATTCAAAGATGGCAGATTCTTTGATGCCTGTGTTTTGTATAGTTGTGCTCTGTGAGTTGGTTGAGGGTGTATGCTCCTTTGGGAGATGAAGGCAAAATATATAAGAATAAGACTGCTATGTTTGAAAGAATTATCTATTCTTTTGGGACATGCGTATTAGGGGGTAAGGAGCCACCCACACCCCCTTTCACCACCATTACAGTGGGACTCCAGAATCTACACAGGGAAACTCCTCAGTATATCCTATAGCCTACAGTAGCTGGTGACACCAGTTCTGTGTTGCTTCTTTCATCATCATCATCCTTTGTATGCCGTTAGACGTCACATAGAAAACATAAATGAGGAAAAGACTGCTGTGTTTTTTAAGAATTATCTATTCAATTCCAATTTGAACACAGATGGGCATATGACCAGGATTAAAACAACGGAGTCATTAGAATCCCAGGATGTGTTCTGGAGGGACATGCATGTGGATGTCCAAGCTTTTGTAGCAGCTTGTTCCACCTGTAAACACAGAGAACCACGCAGACGAAGCAGGACATCTAAAAGGGTGGCCTTGCGTTGGTTTCGAGGGACGGAGGATGATGGAGACTCAAATGAGGAGGTAAGCATGATCTTTCTGTTGTTTTTATAAGGCCGTTGTATTTTGGTGTCTGGTTTGTCAACAGGCCATCCTCACTTTCACATAGACTCAGCAAGTCCAAAGTTTTCTTCATCTTTTTTTTGTGTGGGTGTATTTTTTTTTTTTTTTTTAAATTGTATATGTTTGTGTCCATTGGCTGTAAACTGACAGAAAATTCTAATTGTTTGAGGGAAAATTCTAATTGTTTGAGGGAAAATTCTAATTGTTTGAGGGAAAATTCTAATTGTTTGAGGGAAAATTCTAATTGTTTGAGGGAAAATTCTAATTGTTTGAGGGAAAATTCTAATTGTTTGAGGGAAAATTCTAATTGTTTGAGGGAAAATTCTAATTGTTTGAGGGAAAATTCTAATTGTTTGAGGGAAAATTCTAATTGTTTGAGGGAAAATTCTAATTGTTTGAGGGAAAATTATGATTGTTCGTCATTCACTTCTGGACTTTAATCTAAATCCAGAACTTGAGCGCTATGTACAGTTTTGTTTTACAGATCTGGCTTATTTGTATGCAACTGTTGCTTCTTCACCTCTTGGGACTTTGAAGGAAACACCCCTAATTATCCGGCTTTTATGACATAAGTAGTGGGTTGTAACTCCAGCAGACAAGCAGCATGTCAACACACAAACTGATACAAGCAGTTGCAGATTTCAGATTGTGGAGAGGCATGATCACCCATGCCAGTCGGCAAGGCACTTGATGATGATGATGATGAAGTCAGAATAGCAGAATGTTCAACAAGCCAGCATGCTCAGTTCTCCACCCTTTGAAGAACACAAAAATTAACATCACATATGGATTAATTGACAGAAACATCTTTGCTTTAATTACAAGACATCTTATATTTTGTATGTGTATGTGAATGGTCATAGTAATTGTGCTTTATTTTCCCCTTCAGTTGAATGGTGATATAGGAAAAGTGCCTTATGAAGAGCTGGTAGACTACCTTCGCAAGGATATCATTCCTGATGGGTTGAGCAGGTCAGAATTATTGATCTTCAGAAAGAAAGCCAAGAATTTCAAGCTGATTAAAGGTTGCCTCTATTTTTGCCCTGCAAAGAAACAGAATGTGAAGCCAAGGAAAGTTCTGAAGACAGACAAGGAAAGACAAGATGCGATGAAGGAAGCTCATGGAGGTGAGAGGAGACATATGTGCACTTACTTCACTTCCTTTCACCTGCTGTATTTTAATCTTGTCAGTTGTGATTTACACTATCAATTTTTTTTAAAGTTAGTGAACAGGTTTTACAATTTTATTGTTCTTGACTACTAGGGCAACCTCCATTGTGGAGACGGCAATGAGTACAGTGTAGCAACCTCCATTGTGGAGACGGCAATGAGTACAGTGTAGCAACCTCCATTATGGAGACGGCAGTGAGTACAATGTAGCAACCTCCATTGTGGAGACGGCAATGAGTACAGTGTAGCAACCTCCATTGTGGAGATGGCAATGAGTACAGTGTAGCAACCTCCATTATGGAGACGGCAATGAGTACAGTGTAGCAACCTCCATAGTGGAGACGGCAGTGAGTACAGTGTAGCAACCTCCATTATGGAGACAGCAATGAGTACAGTGTAGCAACCTCCATTATGGAGACGGCATTGAGTACAGTGTAGCAACCTCCATTATGGAGACGGCAATGAGTACAGTGTAGCAACCTCCATTATGGAGATGGCTGACATTTTTTGGGTGTAAAATAAAAAAAATTGTTTTGCATTTTATGAATATACATTTCTTCTTGCATTCACCAGCTGTGAATTGCTGTGGAAAGTTCTTTTTATTTGTCCACTACTAGACCTTAATTTTGTTTCAGAATGCATACACTATTGTTTTACAGATCTGACTTATTTGTATGCAGACTGTTGGTTCCTCGCTTCTCAGGCAGATGCACTCCTACTTCTAAGGAAGAACCCTCTAATTAGTTGCCTTCAAGGACATGCTTGTTAGCGAGGGGGCTGTGGGTGTATTCTCCCCCCCCCCCCCCCATAAAATGGGGCATGAAGCCGACATGGGGAGAGACAAGTTTGAACTGTCTTGTATGTTTCTGTTTTGTTTCGTAAATATACTTTCAAGTGAAACATTTTGAATCTAGCTGAAACATCTGTAGACATGTTGTTTGTGGTAAGTAATCATGTGTATAAAATATGAAAATATGAAATGAATAAGATTAGTTATACCCAGGAAGGCTAACCCAGCACCAGATACCTGCAGAAATTGGATATTTCAGCTGAAAGGCGCAAATATTGCAATTATTTTGTAAATTTGCACAGCGCATTTGTGTCTTCTGATAAACGCAGAAAAAGAAGAGAAAAACTATTATAACATATTTAATCATATTTCCCATCATTTTGTTTTAAATTTGTATTTTATTTTACAAGAGCAACATGCCAATCATGCAAGTATGGAGGAAACGCTCAAAAAACAGTTTTTCTGGCAGACTATGGGAGATGATATTGACCGATTTCTTGCCGCTTGTTGTCAGTCCAAGCTTCCAGCAGAAGATAGTGGAGATGAAGATGTTGACAAGTATAATCCACTTCTGGAAGACAGGATGAAAGTTTTCCGAGATTACTTTGCTGGCAAGGTTTGGATGTACTGTGTGTAGTGTGTTTCTCTCTGTTCAAATTTGCTGTTAAAGATTCCTTTGAAGTTGGAGTGCAGTGGCTGGAGAGGTGAAGCACCAGCAGCCTGCATACATATAAGCCAGATCTGTACTACAGATGTGCACACAAAATTCAACAAGTTCTGGAACAAGACCAAAGTCCAGAAGTGGAGGAACAACCACAACTTTCTGCTGGAGTTTACCCCCTCCCCGTCAGTGCTAATAAGTAGACAGGGCTGTTAAGGAATATAATTTATGCTCATAACACCTTAAAAAATTTGAATTATTTTTATTCTGGGTTAGAAGGGTAGCTGACACATTGTGTTGTGGTTTACAGCTAGGACGCAATAGCTACGCCTTTCGGTCTAACACATTAGTTATCTTTTAGTACATGCCTGTTAAAGGGCAGTGGGCCTGGTCTTTAATTCCTGGATCCCACACAGGCAGAGTGAGAATTACAACACATCAATTTAACCTTTACATCACTCACAAGAGAAATGAAGTTTCTGTAGTGAATCTTGAATGCAGCTAGAAGAGACATGATGAGAAAGGACAATATCAGGAAAGAAGTTGGACGAAATCAGTATTAAACTACATCAAGAGACAGCACATCAGATGGTTCGGACATGTGCCAAGATAGTGCACCACAGAGAGCCCTGTCACTTAGACATAATGGAAGCATAGAGGTCGACCATGCAAGCAGTGGATAGATGAAATATCTAAGGCCGTAAATACTGGCATCTACTTAGCACATGCCAAGGCTCACACCCAATGTCTCTTGAAAACCTGACACTGAACGGCAAAACAGGACACATAACCAAGGCTCACACCCAATGTCTCTTGAAAACCTGACACTGAACGGCAAAACAGGACACATAACCAAGGCTCACACCCAATGTCTCTTGAAAACCTGACATTGAACGGCAAAACAGGACACATAACCAAGACTCACACACAATGTCTCTTGAAAACCTGACATTGAAAGGCAAAACAGGATTAGAAAAGGAGAAGAAAATGCAGGAAACTTACTACACATTTACTAGTTGCTTTTAACATAACATGCTACATGTTTCGCAACACCTTATTCCACATATAGTCAGTACACTTACCTGTCTCATTCCAATATTTACTTTTAACTTTTTTTTTTGTCCTGTACCGTAGTTATTTGACCCATCAGACCCAGACATGTCTTTGAATAAAAATTGTTTAAAATTTTACAGATTTATGAAATGCTTGTCTGGTACCGAAGAGTTAAGTTATAGGATGTATGAGAAATGAAATGAAATTCATAACCTGTTTGAATCACCACTAATTACTGGCATCATGAGGGCTTACAGTCGCAATGTTTTAGATATATAGAGAGAGAGTGGCAGATAGCAGAGAGACCCCCCCCCCCCCCCACCCAAAATTTTTTAGCGCAGTCCATTTTTTTGGTGGTAATTAATATTTCTATCTAAATCCGCTTTAAATTGTAGACACATAAGGCATTCACAGATGGTCTGCATTTTTGCCTACAATTAAAATTCAGCTGTCGTCAGTTATTGAATATTATTACATGTTAAAAGATGTATGAATGAAACATTTTTTTTAGGGGGGTGGGGGGGGGGGGAGGTGAGGTCAGAATAACTCAGATGTTTTGAAAGAAGCAGACAACTTATCACAAACATCAGAAAGAGACAGTCATCATTTTTGGTCATGTTATGAGAAGAGAGAAAATGGAACATGTTGTCACAACTGGAAAGATTTGTGGAAAGAGAGACAGAGGAAGACAGCGTGAGAAGATTCTTGACGGTCTTTTGTCATGGCATAGAGGGTTGTCAACACACGAACTGATACACACAGTTGCAGATTGTGGAGAGGCTTGATCACCCACGCCAGTCGGTAAGGCTCTTGATGATGATGATGATGATGAAGTCAGAATAGCAGAATGTTCGACAAGCCAGCATGCTCAGTTCTCTGCCCTTTGAAGAAAATGTTTGTTCTTTCTTTCACGTTGAATCACACACAGATAATTTCAGGGGTAACATTTCATGTATTTTCCAGAATATCTGCCCCAAACAAGAAATGCTGGACAAGCTGTTTCCTATGAAAGGTTTGTTTGTTTTCTTTTTATCATGTCTGATATTAATAACAGAAGATGTAAAACAGTGATATATAGTTTTAAGTACATCATCTAAAAGGGCTTATAGGATAGCTTGTTACAAATATGTCTACACCCAATAGAATTGGATGTACTTTATGCTTATTTTATTGAGTGGCTGCTCACTGGATGAAATATAAAAAAATAGTTATGCCAATCCTAGCCATAAAGGTTTGAGGTTTGAACAGCGGTTCAACATCATGGCACATGGGTAGTAATCCATAAGTGCTCCGTTCTTCTAATTCAAGTCTGTCTGAAGAAGCTCAGCACAGTGCACAGGCTCTGTAGGACCGGCGAGGATCCTGAAATACTTTGGGTAGATATTTAACTCACAATTTTTGCCCGGGCAGCGCCGTTACCAAGCCATATAAAATGTAGTAACAATATTGCAGGTGTTAAAAAATGATGATGGGGAGAGGGAGGTCTTCGGGGCAAAGCGTTCAAGCCGCTTGCCTCCTGCTGTGAAGGTCTTGGGTTTGTTTAAAAGGCACATTTCACAAGTGCAGTTTTTACAGTTTCTAGAGATCATCGCCAGAGCTACAGAGTTTGGGCTTTGTGTGATACTCTTGGCAGACAGCTAACTGTTCTGTGGAGAGAGACCGAGCCATGCAGGAAAAAACCCAGTGCCATAAAGTTGATCCTCTTTAACTTTAATAATGAAGCCTTTTTCCTTTTTTTTTTAAAATCAAGAATAGTTCCTTTTCTGGGGCCCCATCTTAGGGACAAAAAGATTAGACTCACTGCCCTTATAACAAGCATGGCACTCAAGGCAACAAATGTAGATTTTTATATCTAGTGAGAAAAAAAGACATCCACAGAAAATAAGCCCTGGTACATTTTTGAAGCAAGAATTAACATAAAACCTAGTCATATTTTCAGTGAAACACTGTAACTCTTCCCACTGACAGTGAATGTGGAGGAGCTTTGAAAGAGGAAAGCAAATCACAGTGAATCAGGAGGTGAGGAGAAGGTGCTGGTTTCGGATAGGACAGATGTTGAGATGGTCCGATGGCAGTGTCTCTGCATTGGGACACACAGGATTAAAGGAATAAGGGCAGACAAGGAAACACATAAAGAGGAATATTGGAGTGGTGTGAGATGGATGGGGGGGGGGGGGGCATGAGGTGAGCTACCTGTAATAGCAAGGGATGGGATAATATGGCGTAAGTTGTTCTTCTGCATCTTAGCCTTCTTTGGTTGTAAAGTCTGGTAGAAAATTCTGGTTGTTCGTCCACTTCTGTACTTTTGATGTTGTTTCTCTAAAATTATGCATGCACATTTATTTTACAGATCTGGCTTATTTGTATGCAAACTGTTAGTTACTCACTACTCAGGCAGATGCCCTTTGACTTTAAAGGCTTGTTGGGGGAGGGAGGGTTCCCCCACCCACACACACACGCAGACACACACAGAGAGAGAGTCAGTGGGGCCCCTAACCACACAGAAAAATTGAGTTGTTAAGGCCCTCCCTATGGATGATAAAGGGCACAAAAAGAAGTCACTGTGGGGACATATTGCTGTGTTAACATATTTGTCTTACTTTGTGCAGTTGATGTCAGTGAAGATGCCACAAATCCACTGAGAGATCTTGTGGCAGCTGCCATGGAGAGTGCCAAGTTGATCACCACGGGTCTGTCACCCCGAGCTGATTGCACTCAAGAAAACTTAAACCCGATGGAAATCTCAGGCTCCTTATCATCTGCAAGCGGAGAAGTCATCAGTTCAGCAGCCTCGGAGCAAGCTTTGATCTCACAGTCAGTAGCAGAGTTAATACCCATGAATCAGCAGCCAGAAACAGCAAACAGCCAGAGCAGGCTGGTTCATTCTAGTCAAGGTAAAAATGTCAAGAAAACTTTATGTACCAGACAGTGAATGAATTGACCACATTTCATTATTTTCTTAATCTTTGGGAACAAGAAGTCACACAGAGCAACAATTGGAGATTATATTTGGCGTAGAAGCAACAGAATGAATTTTGCCAAAATTTAATTTCTTTTTCTTCTACTGGGTGTTCAGCATCTGTAAACTCTGTCAGAAAGTTATGGCTATTCATCAATTTCTGGACTTTGGCCGTGTTCCATTCCTTGAGTTTTGCATGCACATCCGCTTTACAGATGTGTCTTATTTGTATGCAGACTGTTGGTTCCTTGCCTCTCAGGCACATGTACGCTAACTTCAAAGGAAACTTCCCTAGTTAGTTGTCTTGTGCGACCTGCTTTTTAATGAGGGCAGTTCTTTTTTTCTCACAGAATCTGACCCAGGAGCTCCCATGGGGGGAAATGTAATCACAGACTTGTTAGCAGGAGCAAGGTCATGGTACAGAATCCAAATGCTGATGCACCACTTCTGAAGGCAGTATCAGGGTGCAGCAACACAGGCATTCTCTGGACTGTTGTGTTGATCTCAGGGTGCAGCAACACAGACATTCTCTGGACTGTTGTGTTGATCTCAGGGTGCAGCAACACAGGCATTCTCTGGACTGTTGTGTTGATCTCAGGGTGCAGCAACACAAGCATTCTCTGGACTGTTGTGGTGATCTCAGAGTTCAGCAACACAGGCATTCTCTGGACTGTTGTGGTGATCTCAGAGTTCAGCAACACAGGCATTCTCTGGACTGTTGTGGTGATCTCAGAGTTCAGCAACACAGGCATTCTCTGGACTGTTGTGGTGATCTCAGAGTTCAGCAACACAAGCATTCTCTGGACTGTTGTGGTGATCTCAGGGTGCAGCAACACAGGCATTCTCTGGACTTTTGTGTTGATCTCAGGGTGCAGCAACACAGGCATTCTCTGGTCTGTTGTGGTGATCTCAGGGTGCAGCAACACAGGCATTCTCTGGACTGTTGTGTTGATCTCAGGGTGCAGCAACACAGGCATTCTCTGGGCTGTTGTGTTGATCTCAGAGTTCAACAACACAAGCATTCTCTGGACTGTTGTGTTGATCTCAGGGTGCAGCAACACAGGCATTCTCTGGACTGTTGTGTTGATCTCAGAGTTCAGCAACACAGGCATTCTCTGGACTGTTGTGTTGATCTCAGAGTTCAGCAACACAGGCATTCTCTGGACTGTTGTGTTGATCTCAGAGTTCAGCAACACAGGCATTCTCTGGACTGTTGTGTTGATCTCAGAGTTCAGCAACACAAGCATTCTCTGGACTGTTGTGTTGATCTCAGGGTGCAGCAACACAGGCATTCTCTGGACTGTTGTGTTAATCTCAGAGTTCAGCAACACAGGCATTCTCTGGGCTGTTGTGTTGATCTCAGAGTTCAGCAACACAGGCATTCTCTGGACTGTTGTGTTGATCTCAGAGTTCAGCAACACAAGCATTCTCTGGACTGTTGTGTTGATCTCAGGGTGCAGCAACACAGGCATTCTCTGGACTGTTGTGTTGATCTCAGAGTTCAGCAACACAGGCATTCTCTGGGCTGTTGTGTTGATCTCAGAGTTCAGCAACACAGGCATTCTCTGGACTGTTGTGGTGATCTCAGAGTTCAGCAACACAAGCATTCTCTGGGCTGTTGTGTTGATCTCAGAGTTCAGCAACACAGGCATTCTCTGGACTGTTGTGTCATAATAATCTTGTTTCTCTACTGATTCCATTGCTTAAGTCCACATGAGAATCCAAGGACGCTTCCATAAATACAGAGCCAATACATTAGATATGTGTTTTTGTATTCAACAATTTTTAACTTTCTGTATAAACCACAGATGTTGCCTGCAAAAAAGATGATAGTGACGATAAGGAAGAGACTCATGAGGACATAGACGAGGAAGATATGATGGAAAGGATGGAAGAAGATGACAGAGATGAGACCTGGGGTCCATCAGTCACAAAGAACATAAAATTAGGAGTCACACAGGTTAGATTATGGTTCAGATATGTCTTTTCGTCTGGTTTACTATTTGTAAACTGAGTGTGTATATATATATATATATATATATATATATATATATATATATATATATATATATATATATATATATATATATATATATATATATATATATATATATATATATATATATATATATATATATATATATATATATATATATATATATATATATATATATATATATATATATATATAAATATCACTGCAAAAACTCTTATATTCTTTTATATCTTATAGTTATTAGTGTTTTGTTGTTAGGACCTTAAATGTTGGAGTTATTTACTCATGTATGATATGACATATGAACGAAGTATCTTTATTTTCAAAGGGTTAACTCTTGAGTCCCAGGGGGTTTAGCATCACAGGCCCAAGGGGTAGCCAAAAAAGATGTAAAATCGGTGCATCTTGCGTTCATTGGGCTTCTAGGTAGGAATCTATGAAGGTATGACGCATTCCTTGGGACTCCAAGAGTTAAGAATTGATCTTACATTCTGCTCTTTAAATAAATTGATTAGTGGTGATACTTTTCCTATAGATTTTTTACTTAATAAGAAAAAGAATCATCGCTGGAGCTACAAAATGCAAGCTCTGTGCTTGATACCATCTATTTTTTTAGTTCCATTTCATTAGGAAGAGGACATTAGACCCCAAGCACACTCACGAGCTTTCCATGTGGTGTTTGCTTTTTCCATGTGGTGTTTGCTCTTTCCATGGGGTGTTTGCTCTTTCCATGTGTTGTTTGCTATTTTCATGTGGTGTTTGCTAAATGTCAGTTCCAATTGTCTGCCATCATTATGTTGAATTGCTGTGATAATGTTAGAAAGAGTTATGTCACCCCGAGAAACGGCAGAACCGACACTTCTGATTGGATCCAATACCCCTAGATATTACTGTACCAACTTACTGTAGTTGCTTGTTTATGAGTAACAACACTCGATCCTTTTGGGCAAGCACAAATATTTAGGACCAGATTTTTTTTATATTGACTTTAAAAAAATAGGAAGTGTAGGGTGCGGAGTGTTTGAACAAATGACTTTTTGAATCGAAGGATATTTTCGTAAGTTCCTGAAAAATAGGTCATTGGCTTTTTTATCTTTGGTCACTGGGAAGTAGTTAGGAAGGAGCTAAAGACAATATAATGTTTGAAAGCTCAGTAGAGGAGAAGGAAGATATGTGCACAAATGCAACAAATGTGCATGTTTATTAGGCATGGACATCTTTTCCTTTCCCTCCATTTAGCTCACTTGTCTTTGTTGTTTTATGTTTAGTTAATTATTTCTTGTGTGCTCTTTTAGTGTGCAAATTGTGTAATCTTTGGCAGTACTAATCTCACTAAAGATATGTGCGCCGCCCCCTCCCCCAGGCTGCAGCTTAAATGTTTGACATCCTGAGAATAGAAAATCTCTCAGTATGGGACCAGCAGAGCACAAGTATCAGACCCTGTTCAACCTCCTGAGTCCTAATGTGTTACCAAAACTGCTCATCAGCCCAGTGGTCATGTACTTGAATTGAATGTCCATGGTCCCATTTGGGGAGAATAAGAATAGACCCACTGACCCCCTAAACATGTTGTACAAAGCAACTAATTAGAGGTGTTTCCTTCGAAGTCGGAGTGCATCTGCCTGAGTGGCGAGGAACCAACAGTCTGCATACAGATAAGTCAAATCTGTAAAATGGATGAACACACAAAACTCTTTCTGGAACAAGATCAGAACTTTTTGCCAGTACCAGCCAGTGAACATGAAGAAGATGAACCTTTTGAGAAATTATAACTGGGGCGCTCATAATGATTACACCAATCTAGCGTTACCTGCTATCCTGTGTGGTTGAGGTTTGTAATGTGTCACTGTAGAGTGGAGGAGATGGTCAGTCCTCCATTTATGAACAACAGTAGTGTAGGTTTCCTGGGGTGTCTTGCCGATAGGTGAAGAGAGTTCAGGGTCAGTATGCTCCCTGATCATGACATGCCATCATTCTTCTTCTTTTTTTGTAATCTCGCTGATGCCAAGTTGTTGTGGTTTTCTGTAATTGTCTTATGCTTCTCTGGTGGCCTGGGTGGTGGATTTTTAATCTTTTTGCTAGTTTCAGCTTCACCATTTATCCATCTCTTTCTTGGTCTTTCCCTTGCCTTACTCCCAAATGTTCTACTGTAAGAAATTGTATTCAATCCCCATATTGTTGGATAGAGGTGGAACAGTGAGAAAGAAACAGAAGTATTCATCTACCTGTGTTGCTTTTGAGATTTTATTTTGTCATTTTCAGACACACATATTTGTGTTGTTGTCCTAAATGCCCTGAATTTTGCATACACTTTGTTCTGCTTGGTATAGAAGCATGAACAAGGAACCAACAGTGTTGATAACGTTGGAACTTCCTCAGCTGGATGAACTTTGTGATGAGAAGCGAAAATGTATGAAATCTTACAGTTATTGTAAGTAAAGGACCCTTCCCACGCCTTCAGACGTACCGGGCATTTAGGGCTAGACCTATATTTTATAGACCAATCAGCACTCGGGTGGGTGATGTGTTCAGCATCACGCCAGCCGCCTTTACTTCCCAGGATTCCACCTGGTATCCATTCATTCCTGGGTCGACCTGCAGCCAATTCAGTTATTGGAAAATAAGGAATGTGTTACTGAATGAGATCAGTATATGTAATGTGTTGGTGATATACATAGCTTTTTTTGAAAATTATTGTGTGTCTGAAGGCACTGCTTAACAAATTTGTTGTGTTCAATATTACTTTTGCCTGCAGGTGTCAGAGTCGCCTAAAAAGTCCAGTGTTCGGAGAAGGTGTGAATATTGTCATGAGGTCATCAGGGGAGACAATAACTTTAAAGGTATTTGGACTTTATTGTGTGATTTCACAGTGGAGACAAAATAGTAACTGTGGTAGTGCAGTAGCATAGTGTTCTAGTACAGTAGCATAGTGTTCTAGTGCAGTAGCATAGTGTTCTAGTGCAGTAGCATAGTGTTCTAGTGCAGTAGCATAGTGTTCTAGTGCAGTAGCATAGTGTTCTAGTACAGTAGCATAGTGTTCTAGTGCAGTAGCATAGTGTTCTAGTGCAGTAGCATAGTGTTCTAGTGCAGTAGCATGTTCTAGTGCAGTAGCATAGTGTTCTAGTGCAGTAGCATAGTGTTCTAGTGCAGTAGCATAGTATTCTAGTACAGTAGCATATATAGTGTTCTAGTGCAGTAGCATAGTGTTCTAGTGCAGTAGCATAGTGTTCTAGTACAGCAGCATATATAGTGTTCTAGTGCAGTAGCATAGTGTTCTAGTGCAGTAGCATAGTGTTCTAGTGCAGTAGCATAGTGTTCTAGTGCAGTAGCATAGTGTTCTAGTGCAGTAGCATAGTGTTCTAGTGCAGTAGCATAGTGTTCTAGTGCAGTAGCATAGTGTTCTAGTGCAGTAGCATAGTGTCTAGTGCAGTAGCATAGTGTTTTCTAGCAGTAGCATAGTGTTCTAGTGCAGTAGCATAGTGTTCTAGTGCAGTAGCATAGTGTTCTAGTGCAGTAGCATAGTGTTCTAGTACAGTAGCATAGTGTTCTAGTGCAGTAGCATAGTGTTCTAGTGCAGTAGCATAGTGTTCTAGTGCAGTAGCATAGTGTTCTAGTTCTAGTGTTCTAGTGCAGTAGCATAGTGTTCTAGTGCAGTGCAGCATAGTGTTCTAGTGCAGTAGCATAGTGTTCTAGTGCAGTAGCATAGTGTTCTAGTACAGCAGTAGTAGCATAGTGTTCTAGTGCAGTAGCATAGTGTTCTAGTGCAGTAGCATAGTGTTCTAGTGCAGTAGCATAGTGCAGTTCTAGTGCAGTAGCATAGTGTTCTAGTGCAGTAGTGCAGTACAGTAGCATAGTGTTCTAGTGCAGCATAGCTATAGCATAGTGTTCTAGTGCAGTAGCATAGTGTTCTAGTGCAGTAGCATAGTGTTCTTCTAGTAGCATAGCATAGTGTGTTCTAGTTCAGTAGCATAGTGTTCTAGTGCAGTAGCATAGTAGTGTTCTAGTGCAGTAGCATAGTGTTCTAGTAGTGTTCAGTAGCATAGTGTTCTAGTACAGTCATAGTGTTCTACAGTAGCATAGTGTTCTAGTACAGTAGCATAGTGTTCTAGTACAGTAGCATAGTGTTCTAGTACAGTAGCATAGTGTTCTAGTGCAGTAGCATAGTGTTCTAGTACAGTAGCATAGTGTTCTAGTTCTAGTACAGTAGCATAGTGTTCTAGTGCAGTAGCATAGTGTTTCTAGTACAGTAGCATAGTGTTCTAGTGCAGTAGCATAGTGTTCTAGTACAGTAGCATAGTGTTCTAGTGCAGTAGCATAGTGTTCTAGTACAGTAGCATAGTGTTCTAGTGCAGTAGCATAGTGTTCTAGTACAGTAGCATAGTGTTCTAGTACAGTAGCATAGTGTTCTAGTACAGTAGCATAGTGTTCTAGTACAGTAGCATAGTGTTCTAGTACAGTAGCATAGTGTTTTCTAGTACAGTAGCATAGTGTTCTAGTACAGTAGCATAGTGTTCTAGCATAGTGTTCTAGTACAGTAGCAGTGTTCTAGTAGCATAGTGTTCTAGTACAGTAGCATAGTGTTCTAGTACAGTAGCATAGTGTTCTAGTACAGTAGCATAGTGTTCTAGTACAGTAGCATAGTGTTCTAGTACAGTAGCATAGTGTTCTAGTACAGTAGCATAGTGTTCTAGTACAGTAGCATAGTGTTCTAGTACAGTAGCATAGTGTTCTAGTACAGTAGCATAGTGTTCTAGTACAGTAGCATAGTGTTCTAGTACAGTAGCATAGTGTTCTAGTACAGTAGCATAGTGTTCTAGTACAGTAGCATATATAGTGTTCTAGTGCAGTAGCATAGTGTTCTAGTGCAGTAGCATAGTGTTCTAGTACAGTAGCATAGTGTTCTAGTACAGTAGCATAGTGTTCTACAGTACAGTGTTCTAGTACAGTAGCATAGTGTTCTAGTACAGTAGCATAGTGTTCTAGTGCAGTACAGTAGCATAGTGTTCTAGTACAGTAGCATAGTGTTCTAGTACAGTAGCATAGTGTTCTAGTAGCATAGTGTAGTACAGTAGCATAGTGTTCTAGTGTGTTCTAGTACAGTAGCATAGTGTTCTAGTACAGTAGCATAGTGTTCTAGTACAGTAGCATAGTGTTCTATAGCATAGTGTTCTAGTGCAGTAGCATAGTGTTCTAGTACAGTAGCATAGTGTTCTAGTACAGTAGTAGCATAGTGTTCTAGTACAGTAGCATAGTGTTCTAGTGCAGTAGCATAGTGTTCTAGTGCAGTAGCATAGTGTTCTAGTGCAGTAGCATAGTGTTCTAGTACAGCAGTAGCATAGTGTTCTAGTAGCAGTAGCATAGTGTTCTAGTTAGCATAGTGTTCTAGTACAGTAGCATAGTGTTCTAGTGCAGTAGCATAGTGTTCTAGTACAGTAGCATAGTGTTCTAGTAGCATAGTGTTCTAGTACAGTAGCATAGTGTTCTAGTGCAGTAGCATAGTGTTCTAGTGCAGTAGCATAGTGTTCTAGTGCAGTAGCATAGTGTTCTAGTGCAGTAGCATAGTGTTCTAGTGCAGTAGCATAGTGTTCTAGTAGTGCAGTAGCATAGTGTTCTAGTGCAGTAGCATAGTGTTCTAGTGCAGTAGCATAGTGTTCTAGTGCAGTAGCATAGTGTTCTAGTGCAGTAGCATAGTGTTCTAGTGCAGTAGCATAGTGTTCTAGTGCAGTAGCATAGTGTTCTAGTGCAGTAGCATAGTGTGTTCTAGTGCAGTAGCATAGTGTTCTAGTGCAGTAGCATAGTGTTCTAGTGCAGTAGCATAGTGTTCTAGTGCAGTAGCATAGTGTTCTAGTGCAGTAGCATAGTGTTCTAGTGCAGTAGCATAGTGTTCTAGTGCAGTAGCATAGTGTTCTAGTGCAGTAGCATAGTAGCATAGTGTTCTAGTGCAGTAGCATAGTGTTCTAGTGCAGTAGCATAGTGTTCTAGCAGTAGCAGTAGCATAGTGTTCTAGTGCAGTAGCATAGTGTTCTAGTGCAGTAGCATAGTAGCATAGTTCTAGTGCAGTAGCATAGTGTTCTAGTGCAGTAGCATAGTGTTCTAGTGCAGTAGCATAGTGTTCTAGTGCAGTAGCATAGTGTTCTAGTAGCATAGTGTTCTAGTGCAGTAGCATAGTGTTCTAGTGCAGTAGCATAGTGTTCTAGTGCAGTAGCATAGTGTTCTAGTACAGTAGCATAGTGTTCTAGTGCAGTAGCATAGTGTTCTAGTGCAGTAGCATAGTGTTCTAGTGCAGTAGCATAGTGTTCTAGTGCAGTAGCATAGTGTTCTAGTGCAGTAGCATAGTGTTCTAGTACAGTAGCATAGTGTTCTAGTGCAGTAGCATAGTGTTCTAGTACAGTAGCATAGTGTTCTAGTACAGTAGCATAGTGTTCTAGTACAGTAGCATAGTGTTCTAGTACAGTAGCATAGTGTTCTAGTGCAGTAGCATAGTGTTCTAGTAGTGTTCTAGTGCAGTAGCATAGTGTTCTAGTGCAGTAGCATAGTGTTCTAGTACAGTAGCATAGTGTTCTAGTACAGTAGCATAGTGTTCTAGTGCAGTAGCAGCATAGTGTTAGCATAGTGTGTTCTAGTGCAGTAGCATAGTGTTCTAGCAGTAGCATAGTGTTCTAGTGCAGTAGCATAGTGTTCTAGTGCAGTAGCATAGTGTTCTAGTGCAGTAGCATAGTGTTCTAGTGCAGTAGCAGTAGCATAGTGTTCTAGTGCAGTAGCATAGTGTTCTAGTGCAGTAGCATAGTGTTCTAGTGCAGTAGCATAGTGTTCTAGTGCAGTAGCATAGTGTTCTAGTGCAGTAGCATAGTGTTCTAGTGCAGTAGCATAGTGTTTCTAGTGCAGTAGCATAGTGTTCTAGTACAGTAGCATAGTGTTCTAGTACAGTAGCATAGTAGTGTTCTAGTGCAGTAGCATAGTGTTCTAGTGCATAGTAGTGTTCTAGTGCAGTAGCATAGTGTTCTAGTGCAGTAGCATAGTGTTCTAGTACAGTAGCATAGTGTTCTAGTACAGTAGCATAGTGTTCTAGTGCAGTAGCATAGTGTTCTAGTGCAGTAGCATAGTGTTCTAGTGCAGTAGCATAGTGTTCTAGTGCAGTAGCATAGTGTTCTAGTAGCAGTAGCATGTGTTCTGCAGTAGCATAGTGTTCTAGTGCAGAAGCATAGTGTAGTTCTAGTGTTCTAGTGCAGTAGCATAGTGTTCTAGTGCAGTAGCATAGTGTTCTAGTGCAGTAGCATAGTGTTCTAGTGCAGTAGCATAGTGTTCTAGTAGCAGTAGCATAGCATGTGTTCTAGTGCAGTAGCATAGTGTTCTAGTGCAGTAGCATAGTGTTCTAGTGCAGTAGCATAGTGTTCTAGTGCAGTAGCATAGTGTTCTAGTGCAGTAGCATAGTGTTCTAGTGCAGTAGCATAGTGTTCTAGTGCAGTAGCATAGTGTTCTAGTGCAGTAGCATAGTGTTCTAGTGCAGTAGCATAGTGTTCTAGTGCAGTAGCATAGTGTTCTAGTGCAGTAGCATAGTGTTCTAGTGCAGTAGCATAGTGTTCTAGTGCAGTAGCATAGTGTTCTAGTGCAGTAGCATAGTGTTCTAGTGCAGTAGCATAGTGTTCTAGTACAGTAGTGCAGTAGCATAGTGTTCTAGTGCTAGTAGCATAGTGTTCTAGTGCAGTAGCATAGTGTTTTCTAGTGCAGTAGCATAGTGTTCTAGTGCTAGTGCAGTAGCATAGTGTTCTAGTCTAGTAGCATAGTAGTTCTAGTGCAGTAGCATAGTGTAGTGCAGTAGCATAGTGTTCTAGTCAGTAGC